CTCAACTGCCTTTTCCACTCACAACAGCACCAGTGAAAATGCAAATAGTGATCACAGAGCAGAAAATTCTCCTGTCATCTTCCCCCAATCACCCAGTGAAATGCAACATTATGAAAATTGTTTTCATATTCTTGATTGAGGTCTAACTTGCAGTGGTGCAGTAGGGAGGTTTCCTTTGCATCTGGTGCTTCTCAATTTAATCCTTTTTATGTGATTACAATGCCTAAATATTATGTGTCTTAGGAAAGAATAGTTGAGCTTGCAACATCCTAATGTTCCAATGCTCTCAGCTCTGGCACTGCGTAGAAGCTGTGAGACAAAAATGTGCTCCCACATTTTGGTTGAGTGAACCCTGCAGTACTGAATCCCATATGGTATATTTTAGGGTCTGCAGGTCAGTTCTGGTCTGAGTCAGTTCAGTGAACTGATGCAGAGGTGAGACCTCCTCATTCCAAGAAACAAAATCTCCTTGTGCTACTCATCATCTGGAACAGGAAGAAAGCATTTTCATTGTACTCTCCTCTGCTTCAAAAGTTTTGTATGGTTCACACCAATCTCAGGGTACTGCAAGTGATGTTCCCTCCTTACATGCCCAAACCCCCACACTCCCCTGGCCATTCTTTGGGCTCTTTTCTCCCACACACAATATCAAGAGATGAAGTGCCATGAAACACCAGTTTATCACGAATGTGGGGAAGATCTTTGCCAGAAAGGGGATCTGAGGTGCAAGACCCCTGACAGGTCTCTGCTCCTGGCTGGGAGGTGAAGTTGGGAGTGTCGTGGCTCCAGGCAGGTGGGAGGTTTGGGCTGGGAGTGTGGTACTGTGCTGTTAAAGGAAACCTTTCCAAAGCAGGGCTGTTTGCCCTCCCCTCTGACTCACAGGGCCAAGCAATCAGGCAGGCCCCAGACCTTGCTGAGAGCTTATGGAGATGCAGTGGAGAAGCAGAGGAAGGCTATGGAAGGTTTGCAAATTGCACATACAGGTGTTTCCTCTCTGCCATTGGCAAGAGCAAAGTGCAACCAAAAGAGATGAGGTAAGACTGCGGGGACTTGTTCTACTCTTCTGCAAATGTGACTTCTAGTTCTTCTTGTTCTTCTTCTTGTTTTCATGAACAGTTTGGGAGACATTTGCAGGGTTTCTTCTTTTGGCATGGAGGAAGGACATGTTTTGTTGCTGTTATTGATCCTTGTCTGTGCATGTTCATCCTTGGCCTGTGCGGCCTGTATAGCTTCAGATTATTCAGGGCAGAAACTGGGTTTGGAACTGCTCAGCGTCACAAATTTATTGCTCTTAAAGCCAAAACAAACTCCAAACCTATTTACAAAGACATGAGTTAGCACCAATAGCTGGGTGACACATGGCAACTGCTACAGATCCTTAAGACCAGGAAAGGTCTGCACAGTAAGCAGACCCAGAGGTCCTCTGGCTTGATCTGCCCAATTCTTGTAGTTTAGACAATGAAACTTGTGGACCATTTAGCTCCTAAAATATAACTACACGTGACACCATGGAAGAGGTACTAAATCCATTCCTGAAAGCAATATAAGCACACTTGTGAGGGATTGTGCTAGAACATAAAGCCATGATGTTTGGCTGATGTTGCATGTTCAGACTGGAATGCAGCTGCTTTGACCTCAGAGTGCTGCTGGATTCATGGAAAGAGGACAAAAAATTTCTTCTTCAAATGCTACACTTTGATCCCAAAAATCATCTGCCTCAAGACCTTGTCACAAACTGTGTTTCTTGACTAATATGACATCCCAAAATGTGTGGCTCTCTGAAGGCCTGACACATCATGCCATTTCTCATTCTGCCAAAGAGATGCAAAGTGAACTCTTACTACGTCATTTCAGTTTGAACAAGTGGTTTTCTCCTGCCTTGCTGTTCAGTTCCTAATTCCATGGAAGTGTGGAATGGTTTGGTTTGGAAGGCACCTTGTACCATCCCCTGCAGGGGACACCTGCAGGTGTCCCATGGGCAGGGACACCTTGCACTAGACCAGATGGCTCCAAGCTCTGGCTTTGAATATCTCCCAGGGGTGTAGGACTTCTTTTTGTTCACACACCTCCTTCCCAGTCCAGAAGGTGACAAAGAATCTACTAGTCATTCCTTCCCCTCACCGAGTAAATGAACTAATTAACATGTGGCTGATTAGGGAGGACAGAACTTGTTGATTTTGGTCTACCAGTGATAAATTGTGCTCTTAGAGTGCAAGGCTTTAGCTTGACTCCAGCATTCTCTCTGGAAAATTGGGTGGGATATAAAATTCTAGGCCAATATTGAATCTATTCCTAATAGCTATGAACATTGTTTTACCACAGGGTTACAGGTAGTCTTCAGATTTTCAACCACCAGGATCAAAGGCTCCAAGATGAGACTGCCTTGGTTGTATCAGACAGTGCATTATCTCTCAACAAGCCTTTTCTGTGTCGCTGTGGAAAAAAGTCAGCCCCCCACTCAATTCTAATCCCCACTCTCACTTCTAGTCATGACTAAGATGCAGAGAAATTTGTAATGTTGCAGTTTTACCTTGGTAAATTTAGTTGCTTCCAGTAGATGGCATTCCAGCAGTGCAGTCCTGATCTAGATTAGTTCCTATCCCTGCTTGGGCTGCTGAAATAATCCCTGTTACTCTGTGCACAGAAGTGGACTTTTTTTTCTCCTAGCACCCAAAATAAATGGAGTTAAAATGCTCTCACTCTTTTCCTACCCAATAAAATACGTTATTTCTATTTTATGCATTTTATAGCACTTTGTTTTATTTTTAACATGCTTAACTACATGATCACTTTATTTTGGAATATTTGTCAAGAGGAAGAAAGAGGCACAGCAGCTGCACAGCAGCGAGCAGGCAACGCAGAGACAGGTTACAAGAAACAGCTGGTAATTTTAACTGATTAATTACATTTCAAATATATTTGGTAGGTTTTTAGGTACACTCATCTGTACGGTCACAAAAACACTGTAGACAGATACGCTTGCATAAAAGCCCCAAGCCAAATATGAAAGTAACTTTCTTTACTGCTAATGTCAAAGTCAGTGCTGACAAAAACACATTGCTTCACTAACTGCACTGGGGCACAGCATCAGTGGGCATCACAGCCCCTCCCCATAGATCTCCAAAAACCAATCTTTAAAACAGTTGTCTTCAAGTCAACTCATTTATTGTAATTACTCGTTAATCAACAATTTATATTGGGAAAAAATATATGAGAAACATGGGTAGCATACATCATTGTTTACCTTTGCATTACAATAAATGTAAATTAGAATTCGTAATTATTTAACCATGCACTTGTGGATTTTAAGGCGAGACAAGCTGACTCATAAAAGACAATTCTTAGCATTTGATTTTGCTTCTGTTTAGTTAAAACACAGTCCAATTCTTCCTCATTGACCTAGCATGGAATTTATTTACTTACTACCCAATTCACAAAAACAGACTAAAATTTAAATATTCCCTTGTGATTCATCAAAGCTTCTAGTTCACCAGGTTTTGTACTTGCAAGGGGAAAAAAGAGCTCAGAGTATTTTTCTTTGCAAGCTGTGGCTGTGTGTGTGCTGTGACCTGGGGAGGAGGTGAGGGGGGGCTGGGCTCGTGTCTCAGAGCATCACAGGTGGGAGGGAAGGCACCTGCTTCCACTGGAGATCCATATCCTTACTCCTTGCCCGAAATAAGGAACCTAATGTAACCCTTGAGGTCATCTCTATGTATGTACATACATTCATACATGTAGATATATACACATATAAGCATATATAGTCATATATGTATATACATATGTTCATGAATGTATATGTAAAAATAGGCCTTTTATGGTTCTTGAAGCTCCCTTTTTGGATCCCTGACCCAGGACAGGAGGCCATAAGTACCATGAGGGAGGGTCTGACTGCCAGCCCTAAACTGTTACCACCAAAAGCTCTCTCAGACCCCCTACTCCATCACCAGTTGATCATGGCCATCCAGAATACTGACAGAGAGATGCAGGATTTCAGGCTTTGGCAGGGTTATACGGTTGTTGGTTCAGATTTGGGGAATCAAATGTTTAAAATGAAGTGGCCAAAGTAGTCCTTGGACTTGATTACAATGACTTCCTTATTTTCTTATTTGATACATCTGGCAGTGAGTATTGTGTAGTTGATTTGGAACTGATACGTTAATTCAAAAGCAATGGTGGCTTGGACTTTCTACATGGACTTCTGCAGCAGTTGCTGCTCTCACTCCGCTGTCTGCTGTTCAGAACTTTTACAAAGATTTTCGATTAAATCTTCTGTCTTTAGCGTGTGGTCAAAAATAATCTTCCATTTAGTGAGCAAACAAGCAGAATGGTTAAACTACAGAGGCAACTGAGTAAGGAAAGCAGCACCAGTCTTTGCAGTGTTACAACTGGTGTGACAGACGTTTGCATATCCCAGCTGCTAAATGACCTGGGTTGGAAAAAAGGAAATTTGCCAGGGAAATAGTTTTTTGGGGGAGAAAGCACCTCGGCATGTGTGTATGTCAGTGAAACCACATCTGTGAGTCACTCACAGCTGCCTTTCATGTGGAGAGCAGGCAGAGGCAGTGCCACTGCTTGGTCCCTGTGCCCAGGCTGAGGACCAGGCTGGCTGTGCTGCGGCTGCTGCAGCTACACATCACAATGCTGCTGTGGGCTACAGGCAGGGCTCACTCTGGGCTGGATTTAACTCCACCTGGAAAGGCTGTCAGTGCAGGTCGGGTAAGTGCTCCCAGGCAGTGACCTGCCCTGGGCATTCCTACACTGGAAGAACCAGTGATGCAGCTTCCAATCTGCTCTGTCTCCACCCATCCCAACTGGCAGCTACAGCAGGAAGAGATGAGAGGAGATAGGAAGTGCAGGGAGGTGCCGGCATCTTCCTCTCAGGGTGAAAGCCTGGTTCAGAGGACACTCAGGGTCAGACTCAGGGGTACGTAATTGTCATCACTCTGCTATGGGTGCAAGGCCTCCATCACCCTTACACGAATGTTTCCCTTCAACAGAAACAACCTGGGAGCGGCCAAGCAGTGTGCCTGGGACTCCAAAGAGCCCTGTGTCACAGAAGAGTTCTGCAGGTACTGTTTGATGCTGTGCTTGACCACTGCAATATGTGAATCTGCTTCTCTGCTACTCAGCAAAGCAAAGGAAAATGCTGTGATACAGTGGGATGTAGACTTCATGTACATATAGTATCATTGACTGGCTTGGGCTGAAAGAGACCTGAAAGACCATCTTTTTCTACGCCTCTGCCATGGGCAGGGACACCTATCACTAGACCAGTTCCTCTGAATCCCCTCCAACCTGGCCTTGGACACTTCAGGGGTGGGGCAGCTTCAGCGTCTCTAGGCAGCCTGTGCTAGGGCCTTACCACCTCACAGCCAAGAATTTTTTCCTAATATCTGATCTAAATCTACCCTCCTTCGGCTTAAAGCCATTCTCCCTTGTCCTATCGTTGCAGGCCCTTGTCTGAAGTCCCTCTCCAGCTCTCTTGTAGCCTCTTTCAGTACTGGAAGGGGCTCTAAGTTCTCCCTGGACCCTTCTCTTCACCAGGCTATATGGTCATGAGAGTGTAGCAGAGCAAACGTGGTGGAGCTTTCCCCTCTGACATGTCTTCTTGACTTCTGTTTCCCTACCAGTTCGTCTTCTGGCTGGGTGTCTGAAATGTCTGCTCAAGAGCTGAGGTGGCTCCTCCTGGGAACACAGAGGCAAAAGGTGGCCCAACAAGCCCCTTCCTAGTCCTGCTTTCTGATGGGGCAGGGAAATTGAAAAGCAGCAGAGCCACATGGGCTGGCTAATGCTCTTCCATGCACAGTGAAGTGTTTTAGCATGTGGTAGCTACAGGGCTGACCACATCACCTCTGTTCTGACTTGAGATTGCAGGAAATCAAGTAACAGAATTGGTTCATAACTGTACTGAAAAGCTCTGGGTACTGCAGAATGACAAAGCAAAGCAAAAGTTACTCTAGAATAAAAAATGTTACATGTAAAGACCATTGCTGCCAGCTGACTGTAAATAATGCAGGCGAGAGGATGTTTTCCATAGAAATTTTCAAACTGATGTCCCTCTTTATCAGCAGATCTGACTGGAAAGTCTGCTTGCAGATTGTGCAGTTTGTTGTGAACAAAGGATTTGTAATGTAGTTGAGTATTTTGTTTTAACCGTACTTTGAGCATTATTCTTTGCTCAGTATATTAAAAAAGAAATGGCAACCTACAGCTGCATACATGAAACATAAACATCTTACAAGGCTTGCCTTCTCGACATGAAAACCCAACTCCATTAAACCAGTGCCTTTTATGGATGCCAGGTGCCAACAAACTACTCTGTCACTCTGCTCCTGAGCTGGATGGGGGAGAAAGCTACGAGGAAAGGCTTGTCAGTTGGGACAAGGCCAGGGAAAGATCACTCTCCCATTACTGTCATGGGCAAAACAGACTCCACTCAGGAAAATATTTTATTTATTACCAATCAAGTCAGAGTAGCGTAATGAGAAATAAAACTAAATCTTAAAACACCTCACCCACAGCCCTCCCTGCTTCCTGGGCTCGACCTCACTCCTGAATTCTCTCCTTTCTCCCCTCCCAGTGGTGCAAGGCGTTGGGGAATGGGGGATGTGTTCATCACACATTTTCTCTGCTGCTCCTTCCTCCTCGGGGGGAGGAGGACTCACACTCTTCCCTGCTCCAACATGGGGTCCCTCCCACAGAAGACAGTCTTCCACAAACTTCTCCAAAGCAAGAGGCTGCAGTGCTTCACAAACTAGTCCCCACAGGATGCAGTCCCCCAGAAACAGGCTGCTCCAGCATGGGTCTTTCCCATGGGGTCAGTCCTTCAGGAACAGGCTGAACCAGCATTGGTCTCCCGTGGGTCACAAATCCTGCCAGCAAACCAGCTCCAGTGTGGACTCCTCTCTCCACAGGTCCTCAGCTCCTCAGAGACACCATCCCTGTAGCACCCCCTACCAAAACATGGCTACACAAAAACAATGCAACATACCCCATCTGTTCAAACACATCACTTTACTAAACAGTGCTATGGGAACTGGTTTGAGTCTTGAGTGGCTTTTTCTTGGCTTTTTCCAGCTCAGTAACTCCTGTCATAACTCTTGATAAGAGCCCACTGCAGGTCCTGAGAGCAGAGTGGGCCCATGGGCTGAGCTTCTGCAGTCTGGTTCTGGGGTCTGTCTGGCTCACACTGCCAGCCTGTTGGGATGGGGGGAAGCATACATTGTTTCTGAGGCTGGAGGCAGTGAACACTATTGAATCAGAAAAGGCACTGTGATCTATATCTGCATATTCAGTTAGGGGGTTAGTTTTTAAAATGTGCAGTTTTTTATTTGCTACCAGCAGCAAGCCTGATGACTCTCCATCTGTTCTTACAGTGAATGGCTACTACATTTCTGGGACTCCTGTACACCAGCTTGAGTCTGGTCATATGAGCCTCCGAAAAGCCAGTAGGGACCCCCAGGTAAGTTTCGGGGAAAAAAGCCAAACAACAGTATCCAAGAATAAATGGGTCTCTACTTAAGTAGTGTAGGAATCCACCCAGAGCAGGTGGTCAAGAGCCATGTTCTTTCAGAACCTGTCAGATCAGACAGATTTGTTGGATGTGGAATAGTTAGTCTTCGTGTCCAGGTGGTAAAACAGTAAAAAATTCCAAGACCCTTTGGATTTTTTTGTCCCATGACTCCTTTCTGAAAAACCCACCAGTCCACTTCAGTCACTAGTAACAACCCTACGAATTTTCCTGCTGCTCCAGCCTGAAGCCTGGGCCTGCGTCCAGCACAGTCCTCTCTCTTCCCTCCCACATCTACCCATGTCTGTGTCTTACTGTATTTTCTTGCAGCTCCAGCTTTCTGTCCCAAAGACAGAATACAAAAAGAATTTGTCCAAAGCTTTTTTCTTAATGACTTCATCCACTCTGGCCTGTCCTTTCACAGCCCCTCCTCAGTGCCTCACCCACTGCATCACCCTGGGCTAACCTACAACCCGTGGACAGCCAGCCTCCCCCAGCCTGTTTGTCCAAATTTCCAGTAAATATCTCTACACTTTTTCTTGCACCACGTCATGTCCCTGGGAGAGTCTTCCCTGCAGGTCTGCAGATGCAGCACAGGGCACTCTTCCAGCTCCTCCCATGAAACTTTTCGCTCTCTACCATCACCATATTACCATATGACTACCATAGCTGGTGGGTTGCACTCCAGTGCTCCCGTTGGGTTGTGCTTTCTCACCCGCTGGTTCCCCCAGTGGTCTTAGACCTGAGTTTTCTATTTCATTTCTGTGTGAAAGTGATAAGTTCTTTTGCAGTGCAATTCCTTAAATACCCACAGGGAAATGCATGTTTGACTGGTGTGCTGCTGCCATGTGGATGTGGCTTATCTGGTGCTATCAGTCAGTGTCTTTCTGATGTTCCTTGTTTCGTGTGTTGTTTGCCAAATGTCCCTCTTTGCCTCAACACCCTTTCTCGCATGCTGCTTTCTAAGTAGTGGCCTTCAGCCTGGCTTAGGTTCATGACATCTCTCTTGATACAGTCCAGCACTTTGACTCCCTGATCGTTCCACATCAAACATCCTGCACTTAATTGCCCGTGCTGCTGCTTCTCTGAGCACTTTGCCCAGGCTAGAGACAGAGTGAGCACCTTAACTAGGGCAAAAGCATTTTATAAACTTACCAGACACCCCTGTCCGCATGTCTGCTGTGACTCCATCAGAGATCCTAAATAAACTTGGGGGCTGTGACTTCCTTCAAAAAAATCCTTGTTAATCCTTGTGCAAAAAAAAATTCTCATGGGATCTGACCCCCATGTTTTTGTAGTTGGCTTGGAACACAGGTCAGATTAACTGACTCCTTCAGAACTTCCTTTATAGCAACATTTGCTTTTACATCTGTTTTTACAATGATGAGTCTCACTTAAATTCATAGACATCTTTGTAGTCAAAGTGACATCTGAGATATGTGGGGAGTCACAGAGTCACAGAATGGGTTCAGTTGGAAGGGAGTCTAAAGATCATCCAGTGCCCAGGGACACCTTCCACTAGCCCAGGTTGCTCCAAGCCCTGTCCAAACTGTCCTTGAACATTTCCAGGGATCCAGGGGCAGCCACAGCTTCTCTGGGCAACCTGTGCCACGGCCTCACAGGGAAGAACTTCTTCCTAATAACTAATCTAAGCCTGCCCTCTGGCAGTATGAAGCCGTTCCCCTTGATTCTATTACTCCAGACCCTTGTCCAAAGCCCCTCTCCAGCTTTTTGTACACTGCCTTCAGGTACTGAAAATATACACTAAGATCTCCTTGGATCCTCCTCCAGGCTGAACAACCCCAGCTCTCAGCCTTTCAGTGCTATGCACTGCTTTGCTCAAATGATTCAACCATCAGCCTGTCAAAAATCCCTTTCATGATTTTTTTTGTTCCCTTCATCGTCTCCATGATATTTTCTTTCCATTGGTCCTTTATTACAGGTTTTTCCAAATGGAAGTCCTGGCTTCATCCCTGCTTTGAACCTGCTTTGAACTAGTTCTGAATCTCTAACTGGCTGTTGATGTCATTAATTCTCAGAACAGCTTGCGTCCACACCCGCTTGGGAACCTGCTTTTCCTGGGAGCTGTGGTAGCTTTTGCAGAAGAGTCCTTAGTGAGGAAAACATCTGATCATGAACTCTTGCTTGCAAGAAGCTGTACTCTACACCCTCAAAGTCTTTTTGGCCGGTCCCTCTCCTTGTGTGTCTTGGGCCATCCCAAGCTGCTTTCCTTTGACTGCCTCCTTGTGTGTTCCCAGCACAGGCTGTCTCCCACTGTGGAGCAACTCCCAGGCACTTGCTGGGGTGCTTTCTTAGACTTGGGTAGCAGCCACCACACAAACAAATGCTGGCAAGATCCCTCCAGCAAGCTCAGCTACATTTCTTGGAAACAGGTCAAGGGGGGAAAAAGCCACAAGTGAGAACAACGCAGAGCTGTGCTGTGCTGGGCGCAGGGCCAGCCCTTGTTTATGGCTTCCTAGAGAGCAGCTAAATGCTGCCTGTTCAGGTTGTCACAGTTGCCACCAAGGGAACAACAGAACAGCCGTGGAACTGCGTGTGTGCGGTGCTGGGCGTGATGCTGCTGCTGGGCATTGAGTCCCAGGATGAACGCTGTGTGATACGGGGTGGGGGTCCCCAACACAGCCCAGTGATGATGCCAGGAGTGACTTGTGTGCGGCAGATCAGCTGTCACAGCATCTGAGCTCCACCAGTGATCCCAGCATGTACCCTGCAACAGGGACAGAGGGCACTGCCAGCCTGGGGGGACTGCGGGACACATCTGTGTCCCTGTCCCCGGGGGGCACAATGCCACCATTCCACAGGCAGGCAGGAACTGTCTGATGGTAGGACACTGCCATCATCCCTGTCCCTACTGGGGCACAATGGCACCCTGTGGGACTCCAGGACCCTTGTCCTCATTTCCAGGGGGGCACGATGGCATCCCACGAGACACCAGGACAGTGTCACCAACCCTGTCCCTAGCAGTGAATGTCACCATCCCACAGCATGGCGGGACCCTGCCACCGTTCCTGTTCCTGTGCCCATACCCAGGAGGGCAAAGTGCCCCCCCATGGGACACCAGGATCCCTGTCCCTGTCCTCAGGGGTGTGCGATGTCCCCATCCCACGGCAGAGCAGGACACAGTCCCCATCCCTGTCCCCGACAGCGGGTGCCATCGTCGCACGGCACAGCAGGACCCGTGCCCGTCCCCACGGCGGTTCTGCCCCGGGCGGGGCGGGGGGCGGAGCGCGGGGCCGGGGCCTCCTCCGGCTCCCCCTGGCGAGCCGAGCCGAGCCGAGCCGAGCCATGGGACCCGCCTGTCCCCGCCCCGCGCAGCCATGCTGGGCTCCGAGAGCGGCCGCGATGATGCGCTCCGGTTCTCTTCGCAGAGCCCGGGGTCCCCGGCGGCGCCGCGGCGGCAGAGCAAGGAGAGCAGCCTGACGGTGAGTGCGGACCGGCCCGGGGAGCTGCGGTGGGGCTGGGCGGGGCGGGCGGCGAGAGCATCCTTCACTCGGCATTTTGGTGTTCAAACCCTGATAAACCCGGGGAGGCTTTGGGATCCTTGTCCTTGGCAGGAGTCCAGTCCAGTTTTCCGTGGATTCCGTTGGTTCTAGGATGAGCAGGAGGGAACGCGGTGTCTCAGACTGTGAACCAGGTGTCCTGAAAAAACTTCCTCATCTGATCACCTTCCCCCCCAGCAACAGCTTCTGTATCGGGAAAAGCACTGAAAGGTTGGAGAAACAAACAGCGGAGGTTGATCGTTTCTCTCCCACGGCACGATGTTTATTTTTTTCTCAAAGAATCTGTACTTTTTTCTCAGGTGTCAGAAGGTTTCTTGTGCCAGTGTCCAAATGAAGATTTCTGATAGACAAAGGTTTTAAGTTTCAGTATGAAGTTAATCTTACATTTGCTTTTAATGTTTGTGATTAAATTTAATCGACTCAACGAGGAGACTTTACACAAGAACACATAGTGAAAGGACAAGGGACAACGGTTTTAAACTGCAAGAGAGTAGGCTTAGATTAGATACTAGGAAGAAATTCTTCCCTGTGAGGGTGGGCAGGCCCTGGCACAGGTTGCCCAGAGAAGCTGTGGCTGCCCCATCCCTGGAAATTTTCAAGGCCAGGCTGGAAGGGGCTTGGAGCAGCCTGGGCTAGTGGAAGGTGTCCCTCCCCGTGGCAGGGAAGTTCGAGCAAGGTGGTCTTTAAGGTCCCTTCCCACCCAAACCATTCTATGATTCTATTTTATGAATAAAGATGTTCTCAGTGTCGTGATTACAGTCATTAATATCTTTTCTGTGCTTGGTGACCTCATCTGGAACACAGTTTGCTCTTCTAGGCCTCTCAGTGTAGGACAAATGATTAAAAATAGAAAGGAAAACAAAAGAGATGAATGAAACTGGCTGGGAAAAGAAAGTTTTATTTAAATGGGAATTGAAAGAAATGAGCAGAAAAATTAATTACGGTGATAAAGGTGAGGCAATAACCATGCTTACAGCTGCAAGCATTGTCAGGATATCAGATCCACAAGAACAAAATGAATGATATACATGCCTGTTAATGGTACTACGAGGAGGGGATAATTGTCTGCATTATCACATGCAGCCTGTGGATTTATTCATCAGTAGTCTGGGTTGCTGGTGACAGAGACTGGGATTTGAAAGGCACACATACAGGTGTCTCTGACTGCAAAGTGGGTCAGTCACTGCCATGCAGGTACAGTTTTTGGGGCGGGGGGGAATCTTGAACAGTTTTTGAAAAAAATGCTTCAGTGATTTTGATACTTGATTATCAAAATCAGTTATTGCAAATGTTATTACTGTAAATTAGCATATTGGGGGAATTATATGGTTTGAAGTAAGTATAAATCTGTTGGTTTGGGCAGTTTTGCAGTTGTCCTGAGGAATCTGCTGCTCCTGGGCTATGGTGGCTGGAGGAGGAGACATGTCCAAGCCCTCAAATGCAGCCCTTGCCTGCTCAAATCAGTGGGGTAGTAGCAAATCATGGGCTGAACATGGTGACCAGAGGGACTAGTTATAGGGTGGGTTACACTGGGATGCAGAGCACAGCACAAGAGCAGGAGTGCTTGGTTTTTTGCAATATCTCCACTGCTTACAGACTGTTTGCTGAGGGTGGTTTTTCATATTTGCTAGCCCATGTGCCATCAGGTAACATCTGCAAAGCAAGAAAGTGTGTGTTATGTCAGGGTCACTGAGTGTGCATTTCTCCAGCAGAAGTCCAAAGCTTTCAAGTAGAATGCATCAGACAGACAAAAATAAGCTAATTTTAACAGCTGTTTGCTCCAAGCCATTACCTCCATCAAGGCAGCATTGTGAAAAACAACTCTCATATGGAGTGTAAACTGTAAAACAATATAAGGTTTTCCCCTGTCTCCTAGGAGGTTCTATTTGCTCAGCACCACTCGAGCTGACATGGGGATGATCTAGTTAGCAGAGCTGCAGGGCACGTCCTTAGTTTGCTGTCAGATGCTTTTCCTTGGTCTGTAGCTGTGCTCAGGCAGAACCTCTTCTTGTAAGGGGGAATTTTATGGTTAGCTTTGAGGCTCTTGGTCCAACAAACCTCTTTCCAAACTGGAAGCCTTTGGCACACAAGCTGTGGACATCAAGTGATGTTCACTCTGAGCAGTGGGTGCAGCCAAGCTATCGCTGCGTCATTGCCTTCAGCAGAGGAGTGGGAGCTCATTCCCATCCTCCTCGGAACGATCTGCCTCCGCTATGTCCAACCAGCATTTAGGAGCACAGCTTCTGGAAATCCTGAAGGCAGGTGTGAGCTGGAGTATTTCCCATCTGTGAGCACCCAACAAGAAGAATAATCTGGGGTTTTCTCTTTGGTCAGTGAATGTTACCCACACAGTTTTCCATTTCTTTGGAAGGGAAACCCCAGCAGGGTATATCATAGGTGTTACGAAGCTGCTGGTTGCACAGAATATGGATGCTCACTTAAGAAACAGCAGTGCACATGTGTGGTCTGCTGGTTTTGCAGTGAGTTTCAGGGTGTACTCACTACTTTTAGGCTGGATGGTTTGCTGGCTGATTTCTGAAGATTTGTCTTTCTGGCCATGATTTGACTGTGGAAGCTGGAGATCATTTATGATAGGTGAGGGAGAATTAAATGGAGAATATGCAGGGGGATATCAGCTCAGGAACAGATCTATGTCTCACTTGAAGAGCAAGAAACTTGCCTGATTATAAGGTATTCCTGAGTGTGGGTTTCTTTCTGAAGAATTCTCTAGTGCCTTGTCAGGATAGTACAAGACTTGGAAAGTGCTGGTGTTTGGATTGCATGTGTTGGACACATGAGTGAACACCTGCTGCAGATAGGAAGAGTGGCAGCCTGAACACAGGAATTTTGGATTTCCTGCTGCTGTGCTCTGCATCTGACACAGCGTTAATGAACACAAGGTTGTGATGAGCACAAGGTGAGGCTGTATGTTCAGCACTGTTCTCTCCTCTGCCCTGGGGCCGACTGCATGGTAGATACTGTCAGAAACCCCTTGGTTTGGCAGGGTGGTGAATCATCTCTGAACCTTTCTACCGATAGACCAAGTAAAGAGGGCTCCTGAAGACTTTTGGCAAAATCTTCCCTTTGAAATAGGAAGGAATCAATGGATTTGTTACCAGTGAGGACTTTGGTTGTCTGTTCTTCCCTCCGGTTGTACCGTAGCTGCAGGATCACCCTACCAGCACTAAAACCACAGGCAAAATAATGATGTTGAAGCTACCTAGACACAGCCTAGGCATTCCTGGGCTTCCCTGTCTGGGGAGAGTTCAAACTGCCCAAGCCTCTATCTGTGCCCAGGCTCTCATGAGATCTTCTCCAGCCTTTGCATTTGGTTGTTTTACCCAAACAGTTCCATTCGCAGTATGAACTGACTTAGTGGAGTTGGATGTTGTACTTTTGGGGTCTCAGCTGAAATTGTGAAGAAGATACTGAAGTGAGGCACTCTGGCACAGCTATGCTATGTTAAGATGCTGTGAATGTGCAGAAATCAGGAAAAATTATGTATATTTTTAAGCTGAAGAAATGAGCAAAAATGTTGCCCTGCTTTAGTCACTTCACCACGGCACAGTAAGCTCACCCGCTGTCTGCTCATTTATTTATGTAGTACCTTATGTAATAAACATGTAGTTGATTATCTAAGCCTTGATCAAATTATTCTTGTTTTATTCATGTTGCTTGGCAATGTATCATTTACTGGTGAGTGCTGGTAGCAACATCAAAGCCTTCAGAGGCTTTGAAATCCAGGAGATTAATGTGCATGTCCAACCCAAAAAAGTTTATTGCTCCTGTGCAAATCCTGTGCATTCACCTGACTCCCTGTGTCTTTTCCTCTTCTGTCACTCTTTTGTGTCTCAGACATAACAAAGAGTCACCTACAATGTAAACAGCTCATTTTGCCATGACTGCCAATGTGCTCATGGGAATAGGAGCTGGAGTATTTTAACTGTTAAGAGTATAATTGCATTTGCTCATGATCAGTACAAAGGCAAAAGTATCCATTGAGTTTGGCACACAGCTTGTCAAGAGAAATGTATCAATTTATACTGTTTCTCTGGTCCTCTGTGTGTGTGTGTCCCACCAAGCTTTGCTGTTGCCGTGTTTTTACCAGGATGTCTTCTTTAACTCTGTACCTTCTTCTGTCCCCATGATCCAGCGGCTCTTTTCACAGATTTTCTGGTGCCACTCGTGGCCAGTGGCAGCTGGAAGGACAAGCTGCTGGTAAGATTTGCTCAGCTCATACTCAGGAATTAGCCCTGCTTAATTTCCCTTTGCTGCAAGCTGACAACAGCCATTATTTTTATTAGTGAAGAGGCTGGATGAGAACTTAATATCATGGTGAAGCTGATTATCACCTTGGCTGTCCCAGTGGAGACTGTGAGAATGTAATGCAGGTCATCACACCTTGTTTTCTCTTCATGTTCTATGACTCCATCATTACCTGAGATATGTGTTTTAATTTGTTTTGTTTCTTACTGGCAATTACACCTGCAATAGTCAGCTTCTGCAAGCTTTTGTTATGACTTATTGGCGAGTCAGCATTGTTGAGAGATTAGCACTGCCATGAGTTTGAATTTGGACCTTGCACAGAGCATGCCCAGCTGTCAGGGATGTGACTCTTGAGAGTGAGGTCGCTCACAATTAGTAAGGGCAGTGATCCCTCATGTGGAGGGAATGTTACTGTCCATGGGACTGATCAAGCTGTTATTGCTGTCAGACATTGGGACATCATCCTAAGATGCTTTGGCTGTCTTTAGCATCAGTCAGAAAGCTCATCAGTGGGACTAAGCTGGTGAAGTAGAGTGCTTTTTTTCAACTATCTTTGCTTTTAGAAAAAAGAAAAGCAACATTTCAGAGGGAGGACAGGGAGAGGGGGAACGCCACTACTGATGTGTGGCCATGTCCTGCTCACTACCAGCCTGGTGTTCCCCTCCTGCTGGGAAATCCTGAGAAGTTTAAGAAATGTTAGGAAATACAAATCCAAGAGCTCTTGTTTAAATATAAGAAACCTATGGTGATGAAAGGAAGATCACAGGATTTCCTATACAGTCATATATAGTTTTTAGTAATATTTCTAGAGGTTTGAAACTTTTCATGACCCTGCTAGGACTCAGTGTAGAAAGATGTAAGTTCAGTTAAGTTCTGTTTAGCACACAAATAATTCTTTTCTTTTTTTTTTTTTTTTTTTTAAGACTGCAAAAGCTTCTGCATTTTAGTTTTCTAATTCTGACTTTAATTCCCTTTTAAAAGTGATGCTAGACCCAAATGGCCTCATGACTGTCCAGACAATTCAGCATCATTTCCAGATAGTCTTCTCAGAAGTGAAGAATGTTTGAATTATTCCTAAAACTTTGAGTTCTGATGATACTCTTTGAGAAACATATGAATTAATCCTGCTCTCATCACCTATTGATGTGCATACTCACTGTTCCTCTCCCTGCTGCATGCGTGGAGTTCAGTCCATTGCAGTGGGGCACCGTGGTGAGTCCCAGCCTGGGCATTTCCAGTGACTCTGGTTAGTGCTTCAGGAAATTAAGACTCACTGTCATAACACTAATCAGCAGTTTCCAACTGATTTAGTTTTTGTGAAACACAGATTTAGTTTTTGTGAAACAGGCACTGCCTTTAGCTGAGAATAGGAATTTCTCTTGGGTTTGTCTATGCAGATTTTTACACTGTAGGAAACAACTTGTGTGCCACTGTATGTGCTCCCCACTGCACATCACCTCCCTGTCCTGGTGCACAGTGCCATGATGCGGTGATCCAGCTCAGATCCCAGTCTTCTGGTCTTTTGCAAAATACACTTAGGAGGTGCTTGTTTTCCCCCTTCTTGATATCCAGTGTGAAAATGTTGTGCCTTAGAAATCTGCCTTGAAAACACTACTGTCTTCATGGGAAGCCCTTGGTCCTTTCCCGGTTGAAATAGGTCATTTTGGACAACTCAGCACTGTGTTTCCACAGGGGACATCCCAGCCGTTCTCCATGAGACCACCAGGATGAGGATAGTGGAAACCAGAATAGCTCTCCTTTCATTAGTGCCATATTGGTGCTTCTAGTGGGGAGATGAGAATCACCTCCAGCATCCTAAAACTTCCATGTAGTCTCCTTAACTCTTTTGCCTTGTGCTGCTAACTGTTTTTAACCTGAGCTAAATCCTGAGTTCCTGTAGCTTGGCAGTCTGCTCTTGAGAGGCAGCATCTTCTCCTGGGTGCTCCTGAGGTGTATTGTGTAAGCATACAGAATAACTGTGCTCAGGGCAGTGCTTCGTACAGGCTGCCAGGTTGGAGGGGCTGGAGTGGCTGAAAGTGCTGGCCTGCAAGTGTCATGAGATTATCACCCTGATTTTTATTCAGTGAATATGAAATACAGCATTAAAGACAGAAATCTTCAGATCCAGAAGCTGTGTAAACCTGTCTTGACACCATGTACCTTAATGTGGTTCCTTGTAACATTGTCATTGCTGACAATACTGCATCTCCCCTTCTCTGGGAGGATGAGCTGCAGCGTTGCTCACTTGCAGGAGGCAGTTTGCCCTCTGTGATATGTGACGGTGATTGTGCAGGAGTTCCAGAAGCCATCTCATTCTTTTGAGGCAAAACTAACTACAATACGTTGTATTATTTGAGAGCTGGTGTGTGGCTGTGCCAGCACAGAGGCATGACCAGGTACCAGTGCAGCCCATGCTCAGCAGTGGCACTGGATTTCATAGGATCATAGAAAGGCTTGGGTTAGAAGGGACCTTAAAGCTCATCTCGTTCCACTCCCCTGTCCTCCCTTGGCAGGGACACCTTCCAGTAGACCAGGTTACTCCAAGCCCCATCAAACCTGGCCTTGAACAATTCCAGGGATGGGGCAGTCACAGCTTCTCTGGAGCTGGTGATCTGTGAAGCAAGGTGAAGCCTGTGTTCTGTCAGGCCTTGTTCAGCAACCCAGTACTGGTCCAGGCCAATGTTTGTCAGACACTGCCTGAAAGGAATAGTTTTGCTGAAGGTTTCCAGTCAGTATTTTTAGGACATTTGGGATGATCAGTTTGAAGTTTCCTGGAAGGGGAGAGAGGAGTCCCCTAATGAGGTGTTGAGCCATTGCACGCTGGCTCACGCCAGAGCTTTGCAGTGCCCACGGCATTTCTGCACCCCCCTGCTTGCACCAGCTATGCCCGAGGGACAGATGCCAGCTCCTCTCCTGGGGAGATCTGCTCACGGGCTTTTGGATCTGGTGATCCCTGAATGGAGAAGGGAAGATAACCCTACCTATCTAACAAAAAAAACAGGGCAAGATGGGCTTGCAGTTATCCTGAGATAACTTTGCTGGCAGGGAAGGGGCAGGAGAGGAAAACTTCAGCAGAGATAGAAGGTGTCCTCAGTGAAACATCTCTCATGGAGGCTACAGTGGTGACAGAAGTCAGCCTGGGGACTGAGGGACTCATTGCAGCAGCACAGATAAGCCCAGTTGAGTGTGACTACAGTGGTGTGTCCCCTGGCATGTCCCCTGACACTGGGGGGTGTCTGGGTGATGGGGAGCACTGGCACTGCTGTTGCATGGCCATCCCACTGTGGGAACAGAGAGAGTGTTTGCAGTGTTGTCTGTTCCTGATACCCTGTGGCCAGTGGAGGCTGATGCTGTCTGGAGAAGCTCGCTCTGGCTGGAGAGGCTGGCTCTGGTTGGAGGTGCAGGGTCACTAGTGCATGGCTGCTGCTTGCAAAGCCTTGATCTCTGACCTCCTGCAGGTTACTTTTGAAGCCTGATGGGAGCTGGAAGAAAGCTGTAAGGGAAGACTCGTGATTTAGGATCTAGCTGAGGTGACAGCCAAAGACACTGTAGGTACAGGATCCTCAGCATGCTTTGAAATGGACTTGGCATGCTCTGGGAAGAGTGATTTATGTAGAGCAAGCTCTTACATTACTTACAGGACAGTTGCTGAACCTCCAGCCTGTGCAGATGGCAGCAGAGCCAGTGTGGGTTTGTAGGAGCAGCCTTGTATCAGCCAATGGCTTCGTCTGCGTTGCTCTGGCGTTGGGGGTTTGCACTGTGTCAGCAGTCGCAGCCTTTCTGATCCTCTCTCACTTGCCCAAGGGCAGACTCACTGCCTGTAAGCGCTGCCTTTGGGTCTGCCCATGCAACTGTGCTAACCCTGCCCACACCTTTGTGGATGGATTTCCTGTGAGCATTAAATGATCCAAAACAAAACCCCACACCCATACAGTTACATCTGTGAGTCTCCCATCCCCAGTATCTGTTGGTTCCTTGGTTAATACCCAAGTACTGTTAGTGTCCTGTGACCCTGTGGGTGCACTGAGAGGGACTGATCTTAGGGATCTGCTCAGCAGGGAATTGGGACAAGCATTATAAACTGGCAGTGAGCTCTGACTCTTGCTGGTACGTCCTCTGAAGGGCTTGGGTTTGTGCAGAGTTGTTCTGCAGCATGTTCTGCAGTAGCTGTCATGCTCTTAGCCTTCACTGTGCTTTTATCAGGCTGCATGTTCCACTGCGATAACTTAATGAGCACTTGGGCTTTTTTATGCCATTGTGCAATGACCATGTGATGAGTCCTGTCTCACAGATTGCAGTGGTTTTTGCACACCGAAGGCTTGCTGACTTCAGAGAGCCCCTGCTTCTTGTAGCAGGGACCATCACTTTCATCTGAAAAGGTCTCTGAGACAGAAGGAAGGGCTGTGCACTGAAAAAATAACCCATTTTTTGTAATCCTGTAGGAGACTGGCATAGCCAAGGTTTTATGCTGAGATGTACTGTTTGTGCCTGCAGTGCTTTCTGATGCTCACTGTATTTCTGTGTTGAGGGTGTGCTCAGAGTGTTTCACATCAAGTCTTTTACCAGTTTTTAGGGATCTGGGAGAACTCCCCGCATGGTGCTTTCCAAATCCAGTAGCTTTCCCTCATGTGAAATGGGCAGTTTATTTCCCTCTGAGCTGACACTCCTGCTTGCATAGAAGAGCTTTCTGGGAATACTTAGCTGCTGTTTCCATGCAACAAGGAATTTTTCTTCACTGGCATGCTTTCACTGCGGACTTTCTGATGGAAAGTGCGTGGATATAAACTTTCATTTGCATATTTCTCATCAACAGCTAAATTTCATTGCTGTCTAACTCCCTTTTTTTTTCTTTTTTTTTCTTTTTAACAGATCAACTGTGTGACTTTCCCCCACCCTGATGTAATGCCAGAGCAGCAGTTGCTGAAACCTTCAGAGTGGAGCTACTGTGATTATTTCTGGGTAAGTAGGCAGCCAGCCACATGCCATATTGAAGCTCCAGAGCTTCCAAAAAAGTGTAACAAACAGCTTGATTTGTGGTACAAGGTAAAGGAGAATTTGGGCTGAAATACAGTGTGTAAGGGCAGCACCAACGAGACTGGCGATGCCAGTGAAGATCTTGTGGAAACCATCCGACCAGTCTGAGGTGTGGGCAGTCATCAGAGAAGTGTTCAGGACAGCAAGCACAGCTTGTCAGGAGATGGATTGGGTCAGGAAACAGGGAACATATAGGACAAGCCACACATCTTAAAATACCTCAGGCAGAAGGGTTGTACATCAGGAAGGGGATGGAATCGCAGAATCTCAGAATGGTTTGGGTTGGTAGGGACCTTAAAGCTTGTCTAATTCCAAACCTCTGCCATGGCCAGGGACACCTTCCACTAGCCTAGGTTGCTCCAAGACCCATCCAACCTGGCCTTGGACACTTCCAGAGATGGGGCAGCCACAGTTTATCTAGGCAACCTGTGCCAGGGTCTCACAGCCCTCACAGGGAAGAATTCCTTCCCAATATTTGACCTAACCCTGCCCTCTGTCAGTTTGAAGCCATTCCCCCTTGTCCTGTCACTCCACGCCCTTGCCCAAAGTCTCTCTCCATCTCTCTTGGAGCCCCTTTGGGCACTGGAAGGAACTCTGATGTCTCCCTGGAGCCTTCTGTTCTCCAGGCTGAACACCTCCAACTCTCCCAGCCTGTCTCCAGAGCAGAGGTGCTCCAGCCCTGTTACCAGCTTAATGGCCTCCTCTGGACTCGCTCCAACAGATCCATAGGTCCATAGGATAGCAAGGTGGCTGACAGGGAATGTTATTTCAGTGTTTCTCAGAGCATGAGAGCTAGGGATGCACAAGGAAGCAGGAGATGTCCCTTCTAAAACAAGGAGATAGTTACAAACTTTATGCTAAATTCTAAAACTCCCTCCCATTGGGTTATTCTGGAGTTCAGATAAGAAACAAGGTTTTAAAGAATGAGGTTTGGGAAGGACAGGCCTATTTGTAACTTGAGTAATTTTAAGACAACCTGCAACATGGGAAGTCTTCAGTGGCTGATTCTGAGTGTGCCCTCTCATGCTCAGCGCTGTTTTCAGGTTCCTAAATCAGATTAAAATGATGCAGTAGTCCTTGGAGTGTGGAGCTGTCCTGGTTTTGCCCAACTGGCCAGCCCCTGGGGCTGAGAATGGTTTTGTCCAGGTGAATTTCTGGACAAGAAGCCAATTAAAACTCTCAGTAACACCTTTGCTAATTACATATTTAAGAAAACGGAAGAGAAGGCTTGTTGCGCACTTAAAATTAGGGGCAGCAGCCATGTAGAAGGGCAGTGGGCCCAAGGAGGGCAAGGCCCCCTCCTCCCCCGGTCCTGGGCCGGAGGCAGGTGCGACACTGAAGCCTCTCTTGGCAGTTTTCCCGGTAACTGTTCCAAAAACCATGACAAAACCACAACAGGGTCTGATAGAAAAAAGTCTACTGGAAAATTTTTTCTTCCACTGAAAATATTTTTTTGGGGTGGGAAGAATACTACAAACAAAGAAATACTACAAAAGAAGTCAACAATGAAGATTTCAGGAACTCCAACTGTGTTTTCTGTTATAAGTTATTGAAGCATTTCCATCTTAAAACAGAAGTGTCAGCGTTGGGTGCCGAGCAGCACATCCTTTTGTGCTTGCTCAGCGCTGGGGGACAGCTGACGTCAGGGACTGGCTACAGATACACTACCATACTTGCAAATGGTCACATTATCACAAAACTTCCTTGGTTCCTTCCAGTCTTCTGATCCCAGTGAACCCTAAATCGTTAATGGCATAAAGACTGTGCCTTACAGAAGTCCCCGTCTTGCTTGGTTGTCGCTATTAGGGCTCAGCCACTGCTTGGCTCTTCGGGGTGGGTAATCTCACTCTCAGTGAAACTCTACTTAAAGCTGCCTTTCTTCTGCGGACTTTTATCCTCCCTTAACTCCACTCCCAGGACTTTCCTCTGCTTTGGCCTTGTCACTGATGGTCTGCCCACAGCTCACCCTCCTTGTTCCATCAGCTCCACTCCTCCTGCTTTCTCAGCTGGCTGGTGCCCAGTCTCATGCTTTGATTAGTGTGGCATTTTTCTCTAGGCAATTGTGCAGCACCCAAGGGATTGCAGCAAAACTGTAGTATTTAGGGAAATGTTCTCTGAGAATTTGTTTGTTGGGAAGGGAGTAGGAAATGAAATACTGAAATATGAACATGGAGAGGAGAGAGAAAAGAGGCAGCAGAGAGAAAACTGTTGGTCCTTGTAGCAACACTGAAGTCAGTGGAGCAGAGGGTAGACTGGGCTGTGTAGGAAACAAACAGTGAAGGATGGGGTGTATGGTGGTAATCTATGGGACAAGTTGCAGGTTTACCGTTTTACAGCAGGTCCATGCAGTCTGGCTGTGTTTTGCTGAATATAAATCAGGGTTGAACTTGGCAGTCGTTAAAGGTCATTTAGGGCTGCCTTCCCCCTGGAAGGAACAGCAGTGTCCTCCTTCTGCCCCAGCCGTTCCCCTGTGCTGGCTCTAGGATCCCTTCTTTTTGCAAGCTGAGCCCTTGGGGCTGACACTTGCCCAGTGACATTACCAACTGTGAAGGGTGATGGGCAGAAAGGACAGCAGTGCTGCTGCTTTGGTCCCCACATCATTTTATGCTAGCTAAAAATAACTGTAAACTTCATTTTTTAAATAAAAATTTAAAAAAAAAAAAAGGAAAAAAAAAAAAAAAGGAAAATGAGTAGGAGGAGGGGGAAAGAGAAAGTGTGGGGCTACTCCTTTGAGAGGGACTGAGGTGCTGTGGCCATCAGCTGATCTCAGAGGAGGGTTCCTCAGGTTCTACTGCTGGGAAGCTGCTGCTGGGAACCACTCTGTGGGTTTAGTCCCCATAGTTTTTTGTTGAACTTCCTTTTATTTCTTTCAGGCAGATAAGAAGGACTCACAAGGGAACAATACAGTGTCAGGATTTGAAATTCTTCTTCAAAAGCAACTTAAAGGGAAACAAATGCAGAAAGAAATGGCAGAGTTTGTTCGAGAAAGGTAATTAGCACTTTGTTACCAAATATATATTGCAATTGTTTTTTCCTGATTTAGGTATTCCTTCAGTACATTAATGATATAGCTTAAACTGCATAAAAGGTATGCTACCAATTCTTAATGAACATTTCTTACTTCTTTAATGTCTATCGACACTCTCCAGCCTTCCTCAGCTCTCACTTGTGTCTCCTGCTCTGTCTCAGTTGTATTGCACACAGGCTGTCTGTTTAGAGGGAACCAAAGTTTTAAGCTGCACCTTCAAGGAAAAAACATGAACATGGGAGAACCAGAGTGGACATGATGTTTAGAAGGGAAATATTTTGTCTGAAAAATAGAGAAGCAATTTGTTCACATGGAGCATAGGCACAGTTTCCTGGAGGAAGATGTAAAAATACATCACCTGGAGCTTAAGCTGATTATAGAATCACAGAATGGTTTGGGTTGGAAGGGACTTCAAAGATCGTCTTGTTCCAGGCCCCCTGCTCCTCTGGGCAGCCTCTGTCAGGGCCTCACCATCCTCACAGCCATGAATTTTTTCCTAACATCTAATCTAATCCTGCCCTCCCTTCTCCTGTCACTCCAGACCCTTTCCAAAGACCCTCTTGAGGTCTCTTGGAGCCCCTTTAGGCACTGGTAGGGGCTCTAAGGTGTTCCTGAAACCTTTTCTTCTCCAGTCTGGACAACCCCAACTCTCTCAGCCTCTCTCCAGAGCAGAGGTGCTCCAGCCCTGTGATCAACTTAGTGGCCTCCTCTGGTCTCACTAAAACAGAACCACACACAGAGATAGTTAGATTGAACCCACAGTCATAAAGGCAGATGTTGCTACCAGAGGATCCTGGAGTGCAGTTAATGGGCTGTTGCTCTGCTGACGTGGGAATTGCACTGAACTCCGAACAAGCATTTGATAGATGCTCGGTTCAAAGACGTACAGCAGGTGATGTGACATCATTACTCATAAATGTAGTCACTATTATTTGAAACGGTTTGTCATTTGTTCAAGCCAGTGTAAGTCACCCTGAGAATGACTTTCAAAACCTAAGAACACTCCATAGGGAACAAACAGTGTTTGCTCTCTGGAGGAAGGCACTGACACTGATGGATGTTCTCTCCTGGAGGCAGTTGCACCAGTTGAAGGAGCTGCTGTACTCTGTTATTGTCTCTCTGTTGACACTTGGTGCTGAGTTGGTGTTGCCTTCCCACTCTGCTGCTGGAGACATGACATGACTGTGCTGATGAGAATAAACACTGGGGCAAGAACAGAACTGGGCCACAAACAGTCTTTTGGCCACTCACTTTTAATTAAGCTGTGCTATGTTTAGAAAATGCAAAATAAATAGCAGATTATTTAGCTTCTGCCATATTCAGCAGATACTTGTATACATCTTTCACTGTTTGCAACAATTTGTAGAATACTTCTGCAGGCTATGCACTATAGGAAAAGTAATTATGCTTCTGTTGTCTGAAAATTTCATTGTTCCCTTCTAATCTGGAGAATTAGTGTTAAAAGACTTATCATCACTGTCTTCCCACAGTGACAATTGTGTAGCTGTCTGTCATATATCCTCTATCACCTTTTCTTCCTGTTCCCCCTGTTGTCTTAGTTTATTTAGTTTCTTCTTGCATGGCAGTCACATCAGATTATCTTTGCCTCCCTTTGTAGCTCTCTCATTTTTCTTTATCCATTATAACATGACATGACTGCAATTGTTTGACTGGGGGAAAACAAAGCACTTAAAAAAAAAAAAGGCATAAGAGAACAGGAAATAAACATCCAAAGAGCAACTAGAAGTAAGAATAGTATGGGTCAAAATGCATTTATAATCTGTAATAATTCTGACTATAGAAGGAGTGAAATTCTGAAGGTTTTCAAACAAGTTAGCGGAAAACAGAACTTGGAGCTTTTTTGGTGGGAAGGTGAAGTAACTGCCAAACAGCCACATGGGTTTCTTGAGGTGGGCTCACAGGACTCAGGAGCCACGGTGTGTTGGTGTTTCACAGTCACCACAATCCAGAGTTTGCAGAGTACTTATATGGGGCAGGGCCAAGAGGCAGATGTTTTTCTCCTCTTTGAGGTTTATCATGGGTTTTAACCTCCTTTAGCCACAGATGGTGACAGGACTCCGGGCTGGGATAGAACAATTTATGCCTTAGGGCTCTTAAGCAATAGACAATTCACCTTTTTATTGTTATTTTTTATTGTTATTTCTCCTTGCCAGGCAGTCTGCCCTTTCACTAGTGCCGTCCACTTGCAGTACAAGTAACACTTGAAATACCTAGAAAAACTTGAAGCCTAGGCTGAGGCTGAGACCAGTGAGGAGCATATTTAGAGTATGTCAGGTGAAATGTGTCTGGATAAAGCTCTTTCCATAGGTCCTAACTCCGTGTAGCCTTAGGTGCTAGACACTTTGTTGGTCTTGTTGGAGCAGGCATGGGGAGCTGGTTGGTTTTGTCCTCATGGGAGGGGGAAGAAGAGGACCCCCATCTCCTGGGTAAGGTCTGTAGTGGTACTGTGCCATACCGAGTTCAGTGTCATCTTGGGCCTCAGCCAGCTGCATCCCCCAGAGTGCCAGCCCACGTGAGTTGCTTTGCTGTGGAGCTGGCAGCTGCAGGACACGTACCTGCTCCCTCTCCTGAACGTCTGTGAGCATAACAGCAGAGTGGCACTTTCACTCCCACACCATCCACCAGAATATTTTCAGCAGCCCAGAATATCAGATCCCTCTTAGCTATCTTAGGGGATCCCTTTTATTTCAAATGTGCCCTGCAAAAGAGCACTTGCTCAACTAGTTACTGCAAACGGGCACACCAAAAATATCTCACCTCCTGACTTCTCACTGGACAGAGATGGATTTCAAACCGAGTTTTACCCCTGCTTGTCCATAGTTGGCATATAACCAGGAGTTGTTCCACCTAGGGGCCACACAGGTCTCTCAAAATGCTCTCTTGAGCAAGCTGCATCAAAAACCAGTGAACAGGCAAATGGTTGCTTTGTCTGGGAGCATGTGTACCTTGCAATTGTTTCACTGTAAGAAGAACTCAGGGGAGATGAACATGGTTGCAGATATGATGCACATCATCTCTGGACCAGCAGCTGCTCTTTTCACCCTTCTGAGCCATCAGCATTTACCCTTGTCCCCTCACTCCACAACTGCACTCGTTCTCCTGCAGCCGCTCCCACAGGGGTTGTACATCAACACCTTTTCTCTTCTGCACCTTTGCCACTGGCACGCCCAGGTCCTGTTCCTTGGTGTGGTGCCTCTGAGTGAGTGGAGACAAGGACAGGGCAGTGAGTGGAATGAATGAGGGGAAGGGGCTGTATCGCCACATGTTGATGACAGAAGACCCTGCCACATCTTTGCCAGCTTTGTCACCTGTAACAGAGCAGGAAGCATTTTGTGTCCCTAAGAAAGGTGTAATCCAGCACCCCAAACCTCATTTGGATTTTTCCTGGATCACTGCATTCCTTCATCTTTTCTTCAAGGATGTGCAGCCTCACGTTTCACAGCAGATTGAACCACATGCTTCTGGTTCTGCAGACAGTCCATGTTGCACTGCAGAAACACTCTGTCCTTGTTATTTGCTCTCCAGAACTGTAGCTGCTGCTTCTCATTTTATCGCACATGCTGTCCTGCATATAGCCCTGCTCTTGCCACTGCATCTTAGCATATGGAGGAGAGAAGACAGCTGCCAAGCCCTGGAGATGAAAGGAAAATTCCTATGGCAAAATCTGTTAAAATGCAGAGAATTTCTTCAAATTACGTGTGTGGGTTTCTGCCTTAAAGCTCACTTACTGCTGTCTTTTTATTTTCTCTCTGTGTGTATGTGAGTGTAGGATAAAGATTGAGGAGGAATATGCTAAGAACCTGTCCAAACTGTCTCAGAATTCCTTGGCTGCTCAGGAAGAAGGGTAAGTGTGTCTTTGTGACTTTCACAGAAGATGAATTTTAACATAAAAGGCATTTCTCCCACGCAGGTACATATAATTCTCCCCAGCTTTCCCGTTGAGTAGAAGTTTATTTAGATTAGCACCCTAGATGTGCTGGGGAAGATGGAATGGCTTCAGAATTGGTTTCATTATTTCAAGTTTTTAATGATAAATTTTTAGGAGTATATGTATGAAACGTTGCATTTCCAATCATGTATTTATGCTGTCCTTGTTGTAGCCAGGGCATCGTTTTGGGATTAGTATGTATACATGCTAAATTACTTAGAAAATGGAAGAATATATAGAATATATATACTGCTGAGAGTAGATCTGTAAGGTCAATACCAGTGCAGTCAAGCAGCACAGACAGAAGGACAGAAAGTCTCTTCTCATTGGAGGTCTGACCCTTCAAGAAAAGCAGCAGATTGTCCCTTATTTACAACATTTACACACTTCAGAAGTTATTAAGAAGGTATTAGACAATGCAATTCAGACTAGATTGCAGTTTTCAGTAATAATGAACAGACACTTCTGAAGGATCAGAGGCTGTTAGTTCTGTCTGATCCAACAAACCCTCTAAGCACTGAAAGCCAAGGCTGGAAATTACTGTCCTCACCATAGCTTGGACACAGTGTGTTTCTGCTGGCACTGAAGCTCCACGAGGTATTTGCTCAGCTTCCAGGAGACAAGGACAGAAATTGCAAGAGTCTAACTAGGCTGTTAACAGCTCTAAGCACCTACAGTGATGATGGTTTCTGTCGTTCTTTCCTCTTAGGGGTGGGTGCTTACTTGATCTGAGCAAAGCGAAAACCATTTTCTTCCACATCTTCCTCTCACTTTCTCCTACCACTAATAAGAGAAGGGAATTCCTGAAAAAATTAAGGGGAAGGAAACTAGGCGAGAATGGATGAAAAGAGAGCGAATGAGGACCAAATCATAAGAAATGTTGAAGTAGGGAACTGCAGAGGACGCAGTGCAGAGTGCAGGGTGCTGCACTGTCCAGTGGTGCTCTGCCTGGAGGGGTGGCAAGGTGAGAGAGCATGGAAGGAGGCTGTGCTGAAATTTCTCCTCCTGGCCAAACTGGCTAGGGCCAGGAAGAGGCTGGTGAGAGATCATGGGAACTGATTAGGCCCAGGAGACGGAAAAGTTCCACTTAAAAAAATGAGGGAACGAGGTCAGCCAACAGGAGGATTTGAAGGAGCCAAAAGTAGGATTGCAGCCTTGTACACTCAGTAAACATTCACCAAGGTCTTCTCATTCACAAGAAGGTATGAGTTGTGGAACCCCATGCACTGGTCAGTGCAAGCAGCTGGTTTCACACTCACTCCACTGAGCATTTTCCAGCTTTGCGGTCCAGCAGTCTGTGGAACTGACACAAAGTATGGGCTGTCTCTCCAAGGTCCTCTGCCCTCCTCTTTTGATAAGCAGACCCTCCATCATGTATGTGAGTGGGACATGCGGGTGACGACCCACTGGTGGTAATGGAATGGTTCTGTCTGGGTTGCTGTGAGCACAGTGTGCAGGAGGTGATAGAATCCACCGTCATTGAAGTCATTGGAGTTGGAGAGGAGATGTAGAAGATGCTCAGCAGGCTGAGATGCCACTTTTTCTTAAATCAGATAAAATGGTTGTTGTCAGTGAGAACTGGACAGCGGGAGGGGACCTCAGCGTGGGTCTGGGGGAAATGTTGGGAGCACTTCTGTAGGTGAATCTTAAGTTATTTAGCTGATGAACACCATACTTGAGAACGCAACTCCTTGGAGCAATTTCAGAGATGACAGATCATTGTTTTGAAAGTGCAGATGATGGGCAATTTTTCAGGCTATCAGGAGGGGTCAGATATCATTATTGTTGAAAAGAGTGTGGGGAAGAGATAGAAGGAGCCAGAAATTGTAGATCACCCTGCTTTATTTAACCTTTGTAAAGTGGTAGAATAAACTGTCAGATTTTCTAGAAACAGTTATTGGAAAACTAAGGTGATGAGCAGTTGTTGTAGATGCGTACAGAACAATGCCAAACCAATGTCATTCCTTCAGTGATGGAATTAAAGAGGAACTCAAGCATCACAACCCTTAATTTAGTGTAAATTTTTGCAATGGGAGATTCTTGAAGGCAGACAAGAAATGATGGCCTAAATAAAGCCTAGTATAAAAAACTAGGTAAGAAATACCCACTATTTACAAAAAGTAAAGTACAGAAAGTAGCTATGGGCTGGGATCCCATAAGGTTTGTCCCACATTCAGGGGGTTTTTCAATGTTTTTGTTATGAATGGCCTATGATGGAATAAATAATGGCTTGACATTATTGACAAAACTAGGAGGGTTAGTGTGTACAGTTCGAAGAAAAGTTTGCAATTCAGAATTATTTTGTTAAACTGGAGTAAATAACTGGAAAAAAATAATGCATTTTAATGAGGATAAAGCACCAGGTTTTATACTTTCACAGGATGTGAAAGATACAGTTACATAACAGTTTGTGGGAGAAGGGTCTGGCTATAGTGAATCACAAGCTTATTCATCAACAACTTCATGCTGTTGTCTAAAAAAAGCAATCATATTGAGATATGTAGAAGAAAGAGTGTCTCATACAGAATAATCTGTTACCAGTTTAGCAACCGGAAGACCTGTACTGGAAGACAGTAATGGTAATGATGCTTTAAGAGGAGTCTAGGCTGTTGTGGAGGGTTTGGAGGAGTGTACCTCAGCTGCCATCATCTCAGAAATAATCTGTCCAAAAGAAAAAGACAATTCAGAAATTTTAAAATACTGAAAAGCTTCTCCAAGGAGGAGTAGAGTAATCTGTTCATCAAAAGTAGAGTGTAAAGTAGAAGAGGCAATGGACAAATGGCATTGGTGAGAACTTTGTTATGATAAGGATAAGATACTGAAGGATCTTACTTATGGGGGCTGTGGCATCTCTTTTGATAACTGGAGATCGTTATGAACCGTGTTTCCAAAGATCTGCTACATACAATGCCAGTACAGTTCTGCCTTGGTCACAAGGGTTGGTTGACTTCTCAGGTTTCTGTTATCCCTTTTCCATGATTTTGCTCAGCAAGACATAGTACGAAGCATTGTGCCAGATCTGTCTGACAGATCTTGTGGGAAGGGTGGGTGAGAGACAGGGCATTGATCGCTGTCCCTCTGTTCTTCCAGCACACTGGGAGAGGCTTGGGCTCAGCTCAAGAAGAGTCTAGCTGATGAAGCAGAAGTTCATCTCAAATTTTCTTCTAAGGTAAGTAGTTCTTTCTTTTCCGAGGATTTTTGCCCTGAATTGGTATGGATCTCCCTTCAGTATGTGTCAGTGGGGGAACTACACGTGCGTATGGTACAAATTCAGAAGAATTAATAAGTTGGCGAACAATTTTACTAAAACTCTGTATATTATTGCTCCCCAAATTGTGCATTTAATCTATCTGATGAGAAAATTAAAACACATCTAACTTTAGGTTTTGATAAAAAAAGAAGGAAAACTGATTCTAAAGGTTGTTCACTTGAGCTCTAAGTTCTCTAAGAGAACCAAAGCTCTGACTTCTTTGTATTGTTAACCTTTCTGGAAAGTGCGCTGAGAATGTCATGTTATTTTTGGGTTTTCTCTGAAGTGATACCCAAGGAGATTTCTTTTACAAATTATGGTATTTATCTGGGGTTTTTCCATCACATGTGACACGCTCTTGAATCCTGTTACATTATGTTAACCTCTGTGGGTGGTCAAGTTCAATACAGTGGCAGATACCTCAGAACAACAGCCATGTTCTGGAGGAAAATTATAGCTCTGCACTGTTGGTAAGTGATTCTGCAGAGGTTACTCAGGCAACTAGCTGCTGCCTTAGTAACGTGCTGCTGTGCCTCAAACTTCGACATCAGGGCTGAAATTAGTGAAATACTTTTTGCTCCCCATTGTCCTCTTGTATTGTTTTCCAAGAGGAAGAAATGCACCCTGGTGTAGTGTTTGCATGTAGGAGGGCCATGTAGAGGAGCTCTTGCATTATTTTACTTTTGTTTAAGCCCTGCACAGAAACTCCCAATAGCATCCTCTAAACCCTCCCCACTGTTAGTGTGCAAAAAACATTTGGATGTGGCACGTGGTTTAGTGTTGGACCCGGCAGTGCTGGATTAATGGTTGGTCTTGATGATCTTGGAGATTTTGTCCAACTTAACAATCCTATGATTCTATGTTCCCATACCTGTTTGGGAGTTCCTAGCTTTGGCTTCCTTTTATTAACATAATATGTTTTTAAACATATTGATTTTTGGTGTTATCTCAGAGAAGCTATTCTTAGAAGCAGTAATTCTGTTTCTCATTGATAGTTGAGCAAACCCAGTCCTGGCACAAGCAGGCAGTGCAGTGCAGAGCATACCCACAGTATTCGGACAAACACCAGCCTTGAAGACACTGAACAGCGTCTGTGACAGTCCTTCCCAGCACTGCTACATGGAGGGTCAGGAACAGAGCAGAGGAGGTGACAGCACTCTCACGGCACTTGGAACATAAAATATTACTGCACTACTGCTGCCTGTACAACCTGGCATGGCAGCTATAAATACAGGCACACGAGGAGTCCTTCAAGAAGGTTGTCATGGCGTGACTGCTTCAGGTCTTTATTTTTTTTGCCTGGGGCCATGCTGATGAGACTGTCAGAAAAACATTGTCCAGAATTGTCTAGTCCAGCACTCCCAGTCAGAGCAGGACTATCACCCACAGTGGATCAAGTCAGCTGCATCTCTGTCTAGCTCAGACTTGAGTATCTCTAAGGACACAGATTTCAGGATCTCTCTGGTCAGCCTTCTCCAGTGCCCAACCACCATTACGGTGACGTTGTGGTGTTTTTTTAAATTGTATTCTTCCTGCACGTCCCACGGCTCAATTTTCGGTTGTGACTTTGCATGGTCCTGTGAAGAAGAATTTGGCTCAGTAACTGATCTTCAGGTAGATGTACACCATATTAGATCACCAAGGTGCCAGTCTTCATCTGCCTAAACAGACTCCACTTGTTTAACCTTTCTAGAATGTGTGCTGTAGTGTCTTGGCTGAGTTTGTAGCCTCTGTCCAATAAAAGACTGCACTGAACTAGTGACAGGAGATGAAATGTCTGAATCACTCCAGAGCATGTTTTCTAGGTGTCAAAACTGTTTATCAGAAGGCCAAAGAAGAATATGATGCAGATTCTATCAGAACTGAGTATTACTGGCTGTCAAGATAAGTCATGTGTCTGGGCTTGATGGAGTTCATTCCAGTGGTTTCTTGCCACTACTTAAAAAGCTTCAACTAAATAATCAGGCTTTTCTTTAGGCTGCCTTATACTTGACAGAAATAAAGAAAATGTGGCCTTCTTGGATCTCACTTTGCCATATGAGAAAATGCAGCTGTGGCACCGCTGCCCATGGACTCACCTCACTGCAGTCAGGGTTCATGGCTTTAATTTGGGTACTTTGGGTTTTTTAAAGCAAGTTACATCAGTTAGGCCAGAATCCAAATACCTAAAGCAGTGCTCTGGGTATTGCCTGTTGTTTGATGTTCTGTGTAAAAAGAGAAATAATCTCTTGGAGAGAGGGGAAGACAGAATTTCTGTCCTTTTGCTCCCTTCAGTTAATACTCCCTTAATAGAGGTCTCTTGCAAAGGGATGAGTTTTGTAGTAGCTTAATTCAGAGCACTCTTGGAGAAGTGTTACTGTCTGTCATTGCCTTTGGCTGCAGAGTGTGTAGTGTTTCCTCTTTGTCGTGAGCCCTGCTCAGCAGAAGGAAATGGCCTCAAGTTGTACCAGGGGAGGTTAAGATTAGATATTAGGGAAAAAAAAAATTCACAGAAAGGGTTTTAAAGCATTGCAACAGGCTGCCCAGGACAGTGGTGGAGTCAGCGTCCCTGGAAGTATTCAAAACCATGTGGGTATGGCACTTGAGGACATGGTTTAGGGATGAACACGGTGGTTCATAGTTAGACTTGATGATCTTGAAGGTGTTTTCCAACCTTAACTATTCTGTGATTCTATGATTTTGTGAAGAGCCAGGACTTACTGCCCAGCTCCTCATTACTGCCATTTCTTCCTTTGTTTTTCTTACCAGCTTCAGAGTGAGGTAGAGAAACCTCTGCTCAACTTCAGAGAGAACTTTAAGAAAGACATGAAGAAGTGTGATCACCACATCGCAGACTTACGGAAGCACCTGTCCAGCCGCTACACAGCCGTTGAGAAGGTGGGAGCGGGGAACAAACTGGAGGGGGTCTGAGATACTGCTGGTTTGGGCAGAAAAGCAGCTGCCTGTGAAAAGTTTCTGTTCTGCCCCAAAGAACCGCAGCTGTTCCTGCTGAGGGCTTTCTGCTGTTAGCTGTGCTTTGCTGGGCCCCACATGTAGTTCGCTGCTTAGATGAGATCTAGGAAACAGGGGGGGCTACAGCAGGGCTACCATCTCACTGCTGAACTGGCTTCTTGTTTCATCCTCCCTTTCCCGGTTTGGGATGATACATTTCTAATACATTTGATGCAAATACTTCTTGTCTGTGTGCATTTGGAAGTCACATCTATTGCCCTCAAAATTTAAAACACGTTATCTTAGAATGGCAGCAAGAGTCGGGTCAAAGGCTTACCTGGCTCAGCACCCTCTCATGCAGTGGCTAAAAGCAGATGGCTGAGAAAGGCAGCTCGAACCCTGCCCAGCAAATCACAAATCCCTCACAGGAAACACCCTCACCCAGAAAACCAAACACCAGCAGCACAACAATAATAGGCTGTTGTAACATGAACCAGGAGGTGGCTCTGGTTGTGGTGTAGGGAGTTTGACCCACAAAAGATCTCTCAGCAGCAACTGGCAGGAATTGGGATGCTCCTACCTCAGCTGCCAAATTGTATCCTTATGTGGTTTGCTCTTGGGTGTAAGTTGGAAAGGAACGTACCATTCTCAGTCAAACCAGAGGTTGCTTGTGCTTTCATTAAAGATCAGCAGGAGTTCACCCAGGGACAGAATTGTTGCAGGATACACAAGGTCATTAGGCTGTGTGTATGCATGGAAGACGTTTTTCTGCAAAACAGTAAGTTCTTCACACTCATATCTGCAAAGAAGCTCAGTAGTGACACTGGGAAGAGTGAATTAGAGTAGCCTTGAGGAGATGGAATTACAGCAGGGAGGAACCATGCCTGCAGTGCGTGAGAAGCGCTCAGCCCCTCACCAATTGCTGTCCTGCAGCTCCCTCTCCCTGCAGAACTGCAAATGGAAAAAAATCCAGTAATGCCTTAAGAGAGTTGTAATGTTTAGGCTGGTGTGACAGGAGAAAACTGCAAGGTGCTAACAAAATACAGTCATCCTAATTTAGTTTGTAATACTAGAACAGTATAAAGAACAAATGTGACATATTTTGTAATGAGTCCATGCAAAATAAGTTATTTTTATATATTGATGTCACCTCAGCCTGCGTGTAACAATGTTTATGTGTTAAGGCACGTTACTAATTTGCCTATGTAATATATGTTTGTACTGATAAATCAGGCTTTAACAACCTGAAGAACTTTTAAGTAAAGTAATTCAAGTAATCAGTTGTAACTAGACCTCAGGGTCTTTATTTCTACAGCATGAACTGTTGGCCTGAACCTGAATAAGTTTTTCTAAATAAGTTCCTATTGGTAGAGTTTCTGATAGGTGTATAATGAATCCAGAACATACTTAAAGACAAATTTTGTAAGTTACTTGAAATTATTTCAACTATTCAGGTCCTAAGAAAAGTGAATGGAAGAGGTGTCTTGGTGATGATGGTGTTTAAGACCTTTGGAAGAAGCTCCAGCTCTCCTTTCTTCTAGAAATAGTGAGAAAGCTGTTAAGAAACATGAGTCTGATGATGCCATTTGTCCTGTAACTTTCTGAGAATCTACAGAGAGTTCAGATGCTTTTGTGATTTGTTGGTGCCGACTTCTCTGTGGTCATAGGACATTTATTTGAACACCACATGATGTTGTAAGAACCTGAATCCCAGTTAGGATCCAGTTTCAAGCAAAGTCACTGACTCTTTGCTGACAAATACTTGTATGAAGGAGTCCTAGATGGCTGAAAGCAGCTGGCAGTTCTTTTCCTTTAAAACACCTGACTCTTCTTTAATTACTCCAAGGCCCGGAAGGCCTTGACAGAGAGACAGAAGGATCTGGAAATGAAAACACAGCAGCTAGAGGTGAAGCTCAGCAACAAGACAGAAGAAGAAATCAAGAAGGCGAGACGAAAGTCCACTCAGGCAGGTGAGTACCTGTGTCTGTCCGCAGTGCAAGTGAGCATGGCCCCACGAGAACAAGATGGGATGCAACTGCCCATCACTCCACGACGTTCTTGTTTTTTAATATTGTAGCTGCAAAGTCAAAGTGAACCATGGTACAAATCTGTGATATTAAATCCTCTGAAGAAACAAGCCTAGTTTTTCCAACTCACATCTCACAACTTGTTGATAAATGGGGTGAGAATAGTAAAAGTAGGGTGAGTTGTCCTTCTGTTTTGTGAAAGCTCCTTAGATTACAGAATGTTTGTGGAACTTTCCAGGTCAGATTTCAGAGAAGCTCAGCTGAGGATGTTTCTCCCTTAAATCACAGTTTGTTCCTTGGTTCTTTCCTAAATCACAGTCACCCACAACTATGCGGGTGACTATTATACTTGCTATTGCTGTCTTTTTCCTTGAAAGTGATTTTTTTGTATTTTTTCCACTGCTACTCAGTGATTAAAATAATTTCTGTTGTAGATATACTGAGGAGATAGTAGTGTGTGCTGTGCTGCACTGAGGACACAGTTACTTTCTGTGACCTGTGCATATTTTACAGAAGCTCAAGCCACTGCATGATCCTTCAGGAACTTTTTTGAGATCTGCAAAGCTGATATGTGCAGCTCCATTAGTACCTTTGCTGAAAATAGGTTTTAACTAGGGCTTCCATGTTTCATCCCTTCATAGGGATGATCCCTGGCATGTGTGGGTTTTGAGGAGAGTCACTGGCAGTGTGACCATGTGTATAGGCAATCATTTGAGGAGAAATAAAAGTTATGAGTTCACGACAGGAGACTCCATGAGAGATGTTCTTTATTCACCTGCAAATTCACAGACACTCTGTGTTCCTTGCATCCTTAGAAATTGGTTTTAATGGGTATTTATTGAACAAGCAAGAGAGAGATGAAGATCTAAGTTTGTTGTGAGTCTTCCCATTGTTGTTCGCCACTTGGTGCCACCGTCCCAGTGTGTGGCAGATGAGGTTTTGTCCCACCCCCACAGGCAGTGGTTCCCAGAAGCAGCATGTGGTCATCTGGCTTTGAAAGGAGCTCTGTTGGCAAGTGGGTGATAGGACTAGAAAACTCTAGAGCAGAGCCCTTCTATGATCCCATGGGTTAGTGATAGGTGGTGTTCCTTTCTGCTCTAATGGACTGTTCCTGTGTTTCATGGCTTTCTTGTTCCCGACTGTCCAGTGCCTCAGATTGACTCGAGCAGGTGGAGGGTAACCCCATGTCAAAGAGCCCCTGAGTAGCCTCCTACAATGTGGGAGCCATTAGTTCAGACTTGACATAGAATCACAGAATGGGTTGGAAGGGACCTTAAAGGTCATCTCATTCCAACCTCTTCTCCACGTGCAGGGACACTTTCCACTAGACCTAGTTATGTCGGACTTTGCATCCCCCTCCTAGATGGATAAGCTTATTGCCAAGCTTTGAGCCCTGAATCATGGCTTTTTCATAGAGTTTGGTTGCCACGCAAAGTTCTAAGTCCATGAGAAACTTCCAGATGCATTTACATCTTTGGCTCTGGTTGGTCTGTGGAGTCCTGTTCTTAAAGCTTGGTTTGCCCCCAGTTTATGTATAAAGACCATTTTGCACCTAAAATAACAAGATGAATTTGAGCCCTGACCTAGACATCAAACCAATCAGGAAAGCAAAACTGAACCTTATTTAAAGAACTAAGAGAATTTCCTAGATGAAAAGCAGCAATCTCTGAGACATGCCTTCCAGATTTTCCACCCACCTTTCCCTCTGTCAGAGCAGAGTCCTGCAACGAAGGAAAAAATGGAAAGAACAACAGCTTCTTGTGTTACTGCCCTGAACACTGGGGGCAGCTGGAGCTCAGCTGGAATCGGGCATCTCCTGAGGCTGTAGAATGCATGAGGCTGCAAATAAGCATCACTTCATCTAACAGCTGGAGCCTGATGCATTGCTTCCATTTGAAACAGAGACATCTTAGAATACAGTCTCACCTACAGAGTGCTACCCTTCAGCTCCATAACTCATATTATTATTGATTTCCCATTTTGATTACTTTATTTTTCAGATACAACTGTCTGTCTGGGACTGTTTTTTTTTTTTTTAACTGAAGTAACTTGCTTTCATATTTCTGGGCATTCTGTAAAATACTACTTAATGCTCATATTTGTTTGTCTTTCCCCCTCATCCTTTCTCACCCCAATCACCTACTTTTTTGCCTCACATCAAGTGCATGCAAGTTGAAATGTAAACAAATGTCATGTGACAGAACTGCCCTGAGCTCCACCAGGGCTGATCTTCAGACCCTCAGGGTCTGTCTACAAAACCTGACTTGCAGTTTCCTTCTAAGGTCTGGCTAGAGAAGGCTCATGTGTTGCTGTCTTGACACTTTCAGGAGATGACCTGATGCGCTGTGTGGATCTTTACAATCAAGCCCAGTCCAAGTGGTTTGAGGAGATGGTGACCACCACTCTGGTACGTAGCGTCTAACACTGTAACGTTCCAAAATTGTAATGGCCTACAGCATTCATCATTCACAGCTAGTTCAGTGCAAAGCAATGGGGAAAATTGGGTGATATCTCTCCCAATGTATTTCCCATTCTCAGGGCCAAGAAATCCTCATTTTTAGGGGAAGGAAGAAATAATTGTTTCTTTGCAGAAGGCATTAAACTAGTTCAGTACTGCTTAGGGGCCAGGATGCTAGAATTGTCCTCAGGAAGGATGAAGTAATGCACAAGAAAAACATGGAAAAACACATAATAAATCACTGTATCCACTTATACAAAAATATAAATTTTTGTATTCCATGATTTTACAATTTCTTCTGGAGTATTGCCAGCTCAGACAAGGCATGCTTGGCTCTCCATTTGGCTATTGTTTTGCTTTTCCGAAGGTAACACACCTCACAAACCTTTGTCTGTAGACTTTTGGGTTTAGGCACCAAGATACAGCTTTGTTGTGCCAGGAGGCAGATATTTTCCCAAAAACAGAAGACAAAAGAAAAAATTGGCTGTTCCTGTACATAAGGGACCTGGTTTCCTCTTTACCTTCACGAGCATTTTCTCACCAATGCAAGTGACACTGACCATCTGAGCCATTGTGGCCAGATATGATCAAATATGTCATAGAATCAGGGAATGGTTTGGGTTGGAAGGGACCTTAGAGACTATCTCATTCTTACCCCCTACCATGGGCAGGGACACCTTCCAGTAGCCCAAGTTGCTCCAAGCCCCATCCAGCTCGGCCTTGGGCACTTCCAGGGATGGAGCAGCCACAGCTCCTCTGGGCAACCTGTGCCAGGACCTCACCACCTTCACAGGGAAGAATTTCTTCCTAATGCCTAACCTAACCCTACTTCAGCTTAAAGCCATCCCCTCTTGTTCTGTCACTCCAGGCCCTAGTCCCAAGTCCCTCTTCAGCTCTCCTAGAACCTCTTTGGGCACTGGAAGGGGCTCTCAGGTCTCCCTGGAGCCTTCTCTTCTCCAGGTGACCAGCCCCAGATCTCTCAGTCTAACTTGCTACAAGCTACCTCAGAGCTGCTTCGTGGCCTCCTCTGGCCTTGGTCCAGCAGCTCCTTGTCCTTCTTATGCTGCAGCCCCTGATCTGTGTGCAGTGCTGCAGGTGGGGTCTCACTAGAGCAGAGTAGAGTGGGAGGATTACCTGCCTCTACTGTATATGTGAGCTGCATATTTGCTCCCAGAGAAGGCACAACTTGGAGGTGCACTAGTAGATGGCTCAAGTGGGCAGCCATAGCCTGCAGCTGCACAGCAGGTTTGTCAGTTGTGAAACTCAGGCTGATAAGCGTTCGAAGGCAACTCTTGGTACACATGAATATAAAATCTAAATTGAAACTGTCTGTGTCTGATCAGCTCAGACACTGATTATTTCATATACAATAATATCAAGTTGAGAGTGTCAAGGTCTGAAGATTTCTGCTTCCTCCCTGAAGTTTCTGGTGCAAATACAGTGGATGTTCTGCATATATCACTAGCACACTGGGTTTGGTGTTGTAGTCCTGCATATCTGTGCCCTAAAAAAGGGAGTCTGAGTTTAAAGTGGGCCATTTTTTTTCATAATAGCAGTACATCAGCTGCAACAGCAATAGGAGCCCTATCCATTCCACAAGCCCCTTTGCTTATCTTCCTCCCCAAGCAGATAGTCTGCCACCTGAGATTTTTGTGCTGTAATGAAGAATGTTTCCCAAGAGACATTTAACAAGTTGCAGATAGCACCGGGAAGGCCATGTAGCAGCCTGCCTGCTTGTATAGGTTTCAGTTGCACTCTGCTGTAATGCTCAATAAGTGGGCACCAGAAATGCCCTCTGAGGCCAGGTTTTGTAACATTTGGCCCCACAGTGTATGTCTTTAAAGGCAGACTTCCATAGCATGTCACTTCTGCTGCTGCCACTTAGATCATAGAATCATAGAACCATTGTAGAATCATAGAGTTGGAATAGACCTATTAGGATCATCAGGTCCAACTCCTGGTCTTGCATAGGACACCCCAAGAATCCCAACATGTGCCTGTCCAAATGCTTCTTGAACTCAGATTGGCTTAGTGCTGTGATTGTTTTCCTGAGTAGCCTGTTCCAGTGCTCAGCCACCCTCTGGGTGAAAAACCTTTTCTTGATATCCAACCCAAACCTCTCCACATGCAGCTCCAGCCATTTTCTTGAGTCCTGTACTGGTCACAAGAGTCAAGAGATCAGTGCCTGCCCCTCTGCTACCCCTCATGAGGATGTTGAAGACCACAATGAGGTCTGACCTCAGTCTCCTTCAGGCTGAACAAACCAAGTGTTCTCAGCTGCTGCTCGTACAGCTTCCCCTTAAAGCCCTTTACCATCTTCTTGGCCCTCCTCTGGACACTCTCTAATGGCATGTCTTTTTTATATTGGGGTGCCAAAAACTGCACACAGTACTCAAGGTGAGGCCACGCCAGAGGGACTAAATGCAGATTTTGGGGTATAATCATAGTATAGTCATAATCCAGAAGAGGGATGCAAAAAATATCAGAAGGAAAGATAGAAATCTCCTGCCTTTCCAACTAAAGTGTTGCTTGGGTCTGCTTACTGCCAGCCTGGCAAGGGAGAAACTTGTCCCAGCTCATCATCTGGTGAACAGATAAAAGTACTCTGACAGGTATCTGGTTGGACTGGGGGCAGTCTGAGCCGTACACCTCAATGTGCTTCCTGCTTCCCCAAGGAATCACTGTAACTTCTGGAGCTAGCAACAAAGCATGCAGAACTTCTTGCAAGAAACAGATTCCCTCTTGCTTCCCTCTCTGAAGGCAGTGGCTCCGCTCTCTGCATTGGTTGTCTCAGTTTTTGAGCCTTTTGGAAAGGTTTCAACCTTCTTTTCTGTCGTTAGGTTCAGACTGAGATGACTGCTGTTGCTTGCTGTGTCTGATTCTCTGCAGAGCAGAGGAATGTGAAACCAGAGAGTCCAACTCCAAAGCATGACTCTGAGGCAGTGAACTCAGTGGCAGCCTTTTGTCTTTCATCCTTTCTCTGGGTTTTCAAGCTCAGGTTCAAGTAAAAATATGGACTTGTTTTTCTTCATGTCCAGGAGCTTGAGAGACTAGAAGTTGAGAGGGTGGAGATGATTCGGCAGCATCTGTGCCAGTACACGCAGCTGCGGCATGAGACAGACATGTTCAACCAAAGTGTAAGTCTGCTTTTTGTTTGATTTCTGTGGTCTTCACTGCCCTTCAGCTGAACAGGACGGCCCCTCCTGATCTGACTGACCTGTATCAAAAGACATGTGAGAAGTGTCTGCAGTCAGCTTGTTAATCTGCAGCAGTACTGTGCTGCCTCCCTGCAGTCCTGCTCCTCCAGGATTCTGATCCTGGTCACGTTTCATACTGCTGGATCAGAGCTCTTTGCTGGGAGAGATACAACTGCTTGAAGTAAATAATTTCACCATTTTCTTACTAAAAACTGGCTACTTATTAAATATTAAAATATGGGAGATGCATGCTAACCTCAGAACAGTTGTATTTGGAGGAAGGCACAGAATACAGGACAGGAGTCGGAGACCAACTGGCCAGCGCCTGGCACAGGAAGCCTATCTGCTTCACGTTAAATCTCCTTCTTCTCTGCTTCCCACTACAAGGCTGCACATTCAGACCTGGCTGCTGTGCCCCAAGTCTCATGTATGTGCAGCTCTCACTTGTCTGTGAATGCAGTGTTGGCATGCCTATAGCTGCTCTGCATGTAAGAGCAATGACTCTGCTTGAAATGTGCCCTTGACATTTGGATTCTTGTTTTCTTCGTTTCAGACAGTAGAACTGGTGGATCAGTTGCTTCGGAAAGTGGATCCTGCCAAAGACAGGGAACTGTGGGTAAAAGAACACAAAACTGGAGATATCCGACCCGTGGACATGGAAATATAGACTGATCTGTAGTCGTATGTGATGAGTCCACTGAATTAACAGGCTAACGTTTGTTTTTTAAGGTTCAGAAGAGCATAGGGAAGAGGTTATTTTACTACCAGACACCTTGTAATTTATGCCTGTATGGGCTAGCTCTGTTCCATTTAGTCATTACAATGGTCCTCATTGTCCTAAGCCTTAAGCACCAGACATTCCAGGGTGAAGAAACCAGATGTGTGCTTCCCACCAGAGGTTCCCAATTGCACGCAGCTTCCAGAAGAAATCTGCTTTCTGGTACAGAAAGTGCTCTGTTCTTCAGTGACTTTGTTCTCCACCCCTTGCATGACTATCTTTATACAGTATGTTAGAACAACCATGCGGTAAGCCTCTGGCCACCAAGGAGATAACTGAACATGATGCAGGAGGCAAGGAAGTCCTGATCATGAATCCCAGGTCTATCATTGACTGCTTTCATGGCCACAGGCAAGTCAACTAACTTTCCTGGCTGCCCCATCTACAAAATATGTGTATCTCACAGCAATGTTGTGTGAATACATTGATTTTATATAACACTGTTTTTCACCATGGCAGTGAAGTGATGGCCCTTCTCCCCAAATCTATGGAGAAGACTCCTGTGCTTCCTGTTTTATACTCCCTCTCAGGGACACATAAACCCATTATTATGATTTCTGTTGTAGGCCAATCGATAAGGTTGAAAGTGTTACCATGACAGTTTTTATCAGGAAAGACTTGGTTGTGCTATACCTACCTCATTATCTGTCGGAGTGCCCTCAATGACAGGAGGTTATATACCAAGGAATAAATGAGATGTTCAAAACCTATCCTGCTCGTGCAAGATGTTTTTCACAGAATCTTCTTAAAGGCAGTCCTTGTAGTTTACTTGGAATCTAGGTTTAAATTTCCCTTTGTTGGTTCCTTCAGGTGAATATCACAGACTTAGATATCTTTGATTACCAAGTTTGTCCAAATAAATTTTGGCTTTTATCTTTTTGGAGCCTGATTTTCAAAGGTGCCAGATTGCATTCAGTGTAGATGTAGGTGCCCACCACTTCTGTACCATCAGTCTGAACCTGAGGTTTTTTCTATGTTACCCTTACTGCAAACCACCAAAAATTCAATGCTGCTCTTGGCAAATAGTGTTATGTAGTTTGGAGACTGGTTTTGAACAGACACTTATTTTATTCTTCTGCTGTTATTTCTGATTGATTACTCAGTGTTGCTGTTAATATATTTTTTTCAGCATTTCATACGATGCAAAGATTCTTCAGATTCTTGCTATAGATTCAGCAGAAACCTTGATTCTCACCACTGTGGCCTTTACTCAGTGTTTAATGTGGTGTTAGCTACAACTTCCCAAACATAGTCTTTCGTTTGCTGCACAGTTATGCTCCACTTTATTTCACAGTTATTGTCTTTTTCTCCTCAGCACCAGAGTCGCATCCTTCTTTTGTTCCACTGCTATTCCAAGCTTTTGTTCACCAGCCTCAAAGCGCTGTGATTAGATCACTGGGAATCAGTAAAAGTCTTTTCTGAGGCATGTTTATAATATTGCTGCAGTGGTTATTTTTCTGGTTTGTTATATCAAACTGAATTCTCTTGCTTTTTCCTATTGTTCCTTTTTTCTCAACCATCTCTTTATGAGTACAGGTTCATTCCTGTCTTGCAAATGCTCCTGCTACCCACTTCTCTGCTGCCTCATTAACCTTTATAAACCTTTGCATGTTGGCAGGTGTAGTGTTATGACTACCACGTGCTCAGGATCACTGTTCCTGGTGTGACACCTCCTGTGCTGCACTTCCACTGCACACTTTGGAGTTTGGACTAATATTTTATTCTTGATGTTGGAAGAGCTCGTTGCAGAGACCATTGCAACACCAGTGAAGCGTTTGGTTTGCCTGAGCGTTGTTTCATCCTTGAGCTCAGTTAGAGCACAAATTCTTCCCTGGACTCCTCTTTCCATTCTGCCTTCTTCCCTCAAGCAGGGTAGTTTCTGGATGAGCTCTCATTTTCAGTCTTCCTACTGATTCACTTGCTGTCCTATTAATTTTTGGGCATACCAGTGTATACTTTTCCTAACTCTTACCTTGCACTTTGGAGGACAGGCACTTTTTTATTTTTTAAACCACAAGTGCAGGGTGAGCTTTTAAAACTTCAGTGGCCAAATATAATGGGAGTACATCAGAGCTGCATCTCAGGTTGCCCCCGTGTTCTAGGCTCTATTGTAAATTGAAATGAGCAATCTTGACAACACCTAAGCACATTCTTGTTTTGATTGCAAAACCAAACTAGTTGTGCACTTTATACAGTATTCTCCTTAATAAATACCTGAAATAATCTGTTATCAATTAGACTTTATTTTTCCACTTTCTTTAAAGATGTATGTTATTTTATCTGTTTTGGACTGGAAATGCTATCCATTAGCACAGGTTTTTCTGAGGACTGAAATGTGTTTTGGTTCCTCTGCTAAGGTGTATTTAAGCCACTCTCAATTCCTAGTTGTGTTTTGTGGTAATTTTTCTTTTTTCTTTTTTTTTATTTTCAGATAGTTTTCCTGATTCTAGTTTTTGGTCCATTTGAAATGTTGTAGGGATGTGTCAGTTACACAGAACAGTAATTCTCTTAATGGAATCTGTATCTCTTCTTCAATAACCAGAGGAGGGCACTGGTACCTGGTTCTTGATCTTTCCCAGCCCTGGGAGACTCATGCACTGTGCTGCTCTGTGACAGGTGAGATGCTTCCTCTGCAACACTTCCATCTGTAATTGGTGGAAGTGTTAAGGAAGTTTTGCTGTTGCTTCTAGACAGTTTCTAGCATATTTCTTTCAAAAGATGATATTTCTTCACGATACAGCACTGCAGATCAGTGGGATCAGTGTTATCTGGCTTTGTTCTTTGTTATCTGGCTGATGGATCCTGGACCTTAGAGATCAGGGAATGCTGGAGCCCCTGTGCTTCTGAACTGACAGCATCTTCAAAGGAGGTAGTGGTATATGTGAAGGAAAGCATGGGTGTTTGCCCTCATGTTCGTTCCTATGAAGGTAAAGAAGGTAACTTTGGGAGTTTCAGAAGTGCTCTGTTCATCTTCCACCTTGTTTCAAAAATGCAGTGGAATCCAGTCTTTCCTTGTGCTTATCCTAAACATCTGCTTCTCCAGAGCAAGATCAAAGTTTTGTGTTAAGTTTCAATAACTAGCATGTGTTGATGCTGCATGATGATGTTGCAATTAATAGAATAGCAAAGTAAGTCTCTTACCTGCATACATACTGAGCTTAGGCATCATCTTGTTTCATCTAGCAGGTGTGCTCACACACTTGGTGTGAGTTTTTGCTGGTTTAGTCACTATGGGTATCAGATTTACAAGGCTGTCTTGCATTTTCATACGCTCTGAGGTCACAGAGCAGAAGGTGAGCGCTTGATTAGTATTGTGTGCTTTCACCTGCACAGGTACAACACGTGGGAATTTGCCTCTGGTCCTTGTAGATCTGCTTCCCCAGGTCTATTGAAGCCACCTGTGTTTTGGGTGTTGTCCTGCCACCCCTGTGGAGCTCCCTCTTTGAGCAATGCTGTCACACACTTGTGCCACGCTGTATGGCTCTCTGGTGATCTCCACTTCAGCCGGACCCTCTTGGCCCTTGTCTCAGTGAAAGGACTTCCTGAATTCCTATGGCTTTGGATCTGTTGGGTGTGCTGACACCAGTTACCATGGCTGGTGAGGTGCTTGTCAGCTGCACCTTCAGCTGCCATACAGAATGAGAACTTTTTATTCATCATCCATACCAACCTACCTGCGTCTTCAAAGCCATCTTCTGGCACAGTTGGAATTCTTTCTCCACAGTATTTTTTCAGCTTATTTCCTACCATAATTCATTCTGGTTCCAGTGCTGTTGTCTGATTCTTGTAGGAGTTAATGAGTTGAAAGTAGTGAGTCCTTTACCATGTGGACCAAATGCACCCTTCTTCCTTCAACAGCAAGATTCCAGTTGCTTTCATGGAGCAACATCCAAAAAGGCCTAATGCTCAGATTTCCAGTGTGCTCCAGATTCAGTCATGTCTGTCACTCACATTTGTTCATCACTTCTCTGTTTTGAAATCTTTTGAACATCTTTTGGAAGACTTTGGTTGTTCCCTTATAGGAGTATTATTTCCTTATTGGATGCTGGCATCTTTAGAGATAGCTTTATTTTTTTTTTTTTTTTTAATGTTAAAGTACCGTGACAGTGGTGAAAATCACATGGAAATTCCTGTTAATGTTTTTAGACTCCCTTTCTCCCTCTGCAGGCTTGTCTGAGCTGCTGGGGGGCAGCTGTGCTCCCTCTTGTGTTGCACAGGGACAGTAAGCACTGGAAGCATTTTTTCTTGAGTGTCTTAACAGGCAGCATGCAAACTTGTGCTCTTCTTCTCTTTATCCTTTATGCAGCCTTTTTTTTTTTTTCAATTGGGTTGGGAGGTTTTTTTTTTCTAACAGGAATTTTTTGTTCAGGAAACTTTCACATGCTCAGTAGCAGTCGTAGTTTCTCAAGCTTTGTCAGAACCGCCTTAAATTTGTCCCTCTTTTTAACATCATTATTTCACTATTCACTGCAAGTTAGGCTTGTTATATAGAAACGTGCACTCTTCACCTCTTCTTTGGAACTGCTCAACACTCAGATTTCTTGGAATATAACAGGGAGCTGTTAGGTGGTAAGAGTCTTTGAAAATCAGGCTAACAAACAGAAATGGACAAGCCTCTTTTTTCCTTAGTTGTACTCAATACATGGATAAAGTAAACATTAGGAAATGCGATCCTAAAGTACTTAATGGATAAGACGTTACTGCTCTCTCTGCAGCTCGCAGCAGCTCTAGGAGTGTCCCTCTGTTGGGCTGTGGTCAGAGCAAAGCCCACAGGTCACCTGCTGATGCAGCTGTAAAAACCCAAATCCAAAATTCAGTGACAAAGTAGCTCTGGCCATCTATTTCTTCAGTCACACACAGGGAGAGAAAAGGCATTGCTTACCCAGGTGGGTCCTTCACTACCAAGCACCTTAAGAAATCCAGACCAGCACCTTGAAGGTCCCCCTGGAATGAGTAATGACTTCTTGATGTGATTATTTGAGTGTTTCCTTCTGAACTGAAAACAGATTTGCTGTTTCATAGTATCTCATATGTTCTTGTGCACTAGTGTGACTGGCTGTTCCTGGAGGTAGCAGGCACAGTCTGGGATCCTGGGGGCAGTACTGGTCACCCTGACATTTCTCATTTGGCAAGAACCGTGCCTTCAAAAGACAATGTCAAAAAGGCAGTTTGCAAAATAATGAGCTTTTCTGATTACAGACTTTTTCAGAAAGCCTGAAAAGGCTTTTTACTCCCCAGTGTGTATTGAAGTAGGAGAGTGAGGTCCAACAGATAGCTGAAGCATGGTTCTGAGGGGTTCTTGGTGTGTGAACATTCCTCCCGTCCTTGCACAAGGATGGGGAAGGGCCAATGGGCACCCTTTGTGCAGCAGAGGTGTGTAACGTCATCAGAGCAGCCTACTGGTCACATTTACCTTAACCAGGTGGGCAATAGTAACGGGATTAATTCAGATTAAAAACAGACACATAGGGCAGGAAGATATTTAGCTTTCCTGGTGGCATCTCTCTGAGACCTCGATGGGTCTAGTAAAAGGCTCATCGCTCTCCCGGTTTTGCTTAGCACATGAAAATCAGTGATGAAATATTCCCTTGTATCTGTAGCTTCATACAGAGCTTTCCAGCTTGCACCTGGTTGTGCCAGTGGGAGACCAGTACTTACCAGTGCCCCCTGGGAACCGCAGGTCGGGTGTGTCGTTCAGCAGTGACGTCCTGCGCTCTCACACTGCTCTGCCCACACACCAGGCTCAAGTGTGCCGAGCCTGCTGTGCTCCAGGAGCTTGGAGCACACAGCCTTGCTGTTGCACAATGGTGGGGAAGTGTTTCCTTGCAGTAAATCCTTGTCTTTTCCTCAGAAGCACTATTGTGTAAATAATATCCATTACTTTGTCTTACAGTAGCTTTTATTCATATGAGTGGTGCATCTTTCAACTCTTATTTTTCCCATTGTTACTGTAGCAAGCCCTTCATCACTTTTCAGAACTTTTTTTTAATTTTGAATTTTCATAGAACATATCTGTTATTTCATCATGCTGACCAAACTTCATGCTTTCAGGTATTTTCTGGGAGTTGTGCTTTTTGGAGAGGTTATTTTGTCTTTTAATTTGGATTTTTCCTATCAGCCACCAGGTTTGGAAGTGTAATGACTCCTTTTTGTGCTAGCCACAGTTTCTCTTTTATTCCTGGACACTTTTTTCTGAAGGGACCAACACATAGCACAATTTGATTTAAATTTCTAATCCCAGGCATTCCTCAAGGCAGAAACCTTTTGTGCCTAATGATGCATCTGAATCTAAGAACTTTACATGGATAAAATCTCTCATAGACCATTAAAAAAATAAGTCTTAGGTTAACCACGTAATAATAATTACAGAAAAAATATGTAGAAATTTGAAATATTCAGATTTAACTCCCTCAACTTACATTAAGTTGAACTATTTCAGGTGTGTCATAAGAAACAAACTCAGTGGATATTCAGAACAAAAGCTTTCCAGCTGCTGTGTTCAGGTTCAGTGACTGGATAGGACTATAGTTTTGAGTATACACAGTCTTTTAGGGCTACTGGTGTAACAAGTAGCTGAGTAATGGCTTGTATCACAAATTAAAATTCTGCTAGTAGATCCCCTTGAAGTGCCTCTTTAAGTAGTATCTGCTACATGCATGTAAAATCCACAGATTCACACTACAAATTTCCAAATCTCAGGAGCAGCCAGTGTGTACAAATCTGTGCAGGATTCTCAGACCTCCTTCCTTGCTCTGAGTTGTTCACTCTTTTAGGACATCCACATCCCCAGGACACCTGCTTTTGTCTCCCTGATAACTTACTGTCCAGCACAGGCATCCTGAATTCTCAATGCTGAAAACGGAATAGGAAAATTTAGACTTAAAAGTAACTGCATTGAAGCTAATCTTTGAACCCTCCCTTCAGTGTAGGGATCTCAATAGAGTAAGCAGGGAATTCTGCATAAAAATAGGATGTAGTGATAATTCTGAATAAAAGAGTTACACTGTATTGTTTTAAATAAATAACTAAAAATCATAATTAAAAAAAAAAACCACCACAACTTTTTTTTTTTTACAGTTGTTGCTGAGAAGAAGTGTTCTGGTTCTGGAACTCTAAAGCTGAATAGTGATTTCAGGGATCTCATATCTGCTGACATGATAATCTTAGTCATGTGAATTTGGGAATGCTTGACCTGAAATCCCTTGTTCCTTTGGAGTTTTTTGATTGAATGGCTAAGATTATCAGAATAGCCTAAGGAATTTGGATGTCCATTTACCACTCTGGCAGGTCAAAAATATTCTTTAGGGACAGCAGCCTCTATCTGTTATGAAAACGGCAGGTACTAGTATTGGACAAGTATTTTATCCTCCTTAGATGATTTCCCTGTTTTCTGCAGCCCAAGACAGTGAGAATTCCAGTGGGCAGTTGTGCAGACACTGTAACAGCAGGGATCCACAGGCAGGCCAGATCACCAGTCATACACTAAATCAGAGTTTTCTGCTAAAATAAAGTTGCTTATTTGGTCCTTTTTGTGTAAGTTTTCCTAAATACTTCTAAATTTCTAGAGAAGTTGTCTTTTGCCAGTACTAATGACTTATTTTTAAAGAAGCTTAACCAAAATTTTATAACTTCCCATAAATTTTGGCTGAATAGACCCCTTACATAGTTTATTTTATCATGCAGCCTCATACTAGTCTGAGTAACTAGTAAATCTTGGATCATTGTGGAAATTATAGGATGACTTTTGTTCCCTAAGGATGCATGAAGGAATCACTTACTGAACTTAAGTTGAATGAAGAAAAGATTTAAGGGGCGGATCTTCAGCTCGGGTAAACTGCCAGAGTTCAGTGGAAGCTATTTGATGTCAGCTGTGGATCTTGTCCTTCAGTGTTGAAGGCATTTCCTATATGTAATTTTTCTGTCTTACTGTAAAACAATTTCATATGGTTAAACTGTATTTTCCTATATTGTTCTGCAAGTTTGTATACATCATAGTGCTCATCTCATCTCCTGTAAAATAAACTGTACAGAGACACATTGAGCATGGAATTGTCTTTACCTAGTTCCTTTTTCTTCTACCACAGCACCACACCTCGTGAGTGCAGTTTGATCAAAGACACTGTGGGGTGCCACATGTACATGGACAGCTCTGTTGATACCAGTTTAGTGCAGCTTGACTTTGCAATGACATGACTGGGTGTAATCTACTTGTACTTGTCGTTTCAGATCTTTGCATGATAGATGCATTCGGTCCCTGCTGTCCCTACAATTTCAGAAATTACCTTCCGTTAAATGATTCTTAAATGAGCAAGGCAAGCTGGCCATGAGCAGCCTGATAGCAGCTGCCATGGAATGGGCATGCTTTCGTGCTTTAAGTGGTCTGCAAGTCTTCCTAAACCAGCCATTCCTTTACCTACAAGTTTCACATGTAGCTTGAAGCTTAGTTGAAAACACTGGTATAAAATGTTGTTACTAAAAATTGTTCTCCTTTGAATATTTTAATTAACATGAATGCTGACAGGTTTTCTGACACGGGCAAAATTGGCCCTGCCAAAATCCAGTCTAATCCAACAACTGCCTGCAGCAGTAACCGGCATGGGCAGCCTGCTGTGCTGCAGAAACAGAACTCGGAGCATGGAGGAGTTGCAGTTCTGCAGAACACAAGCCCACCTTCCAGCAAGGTGTGACTCGGGCACCTTGGAGGTAGCCCATCTACACATCTCGTAAACCTCAGTGGAGATTCCTTCTAAGAATGTTTCCAGTTCTGAACTCATGTAAAAATTTTGTTTCTGCAACCCCCTGTGGAAGGGCATCCCAAAGCACTCAGTGTGCTTGTGCACAGAGGTGGGATGAGCGGCAGAGGTATTGCACACTCTTCTTAGAGGAAGACACTGAAGGCAAGATGATGTAAAAGTTTCAGGTGGAAGCTTAGTTGCCCAGAGTAGCCTAGATCTGTTTAAAAAAATCTCAGAATGCTGTTTCAGATTCTGGTGCATGGTATAGACCAGCTTGTTCAGTACCCTCCACATGCTGTGGTACATTTAACTGCAACGTACCAGCACTTTCTGTTGTAGAGGTCTTTGATATGACTTCGAAATGCAAGTTGGGGAGTTACTAAAAAGCCATTTGCTGAGCTGGTGTAGTGCCAGCGCTCAGAAAAACATCATGGCAAGAGGACAGGATGCACCCTTCTCAGAGGGGAAAAAAGAGTTCTACCACAGGAGCTATCAGGGCTTTTTTATAGAGCTTTAAACTAACTTGGAAGGGGGAAAGGGGCAAAAGCAGGTTCGTCAGTGATGAGCGATGAGATCTTGTGTCAAAACTTGAGAAAACGAGCACTAAGGGGATCCTCAGTCCGTCTCATGAGGTGTTGGCTACAATGCACCACACCTGAAATGTCTCTACGCCAATGCAGGCAGCATGAGGAACAAACGAGGAGCTCCAAGCTTCGGCCCAGTCCCAGAGATTGGGCATCACTGGCATAAGTGAGCCCTGGTGGGATGAGTCCCATGACTGAAGTGCCCTGCTGGGTGATTACAGGCTCTTCAGGAAGGATAGGCAGGGCAGAAGAGGTGAAAGGGTGCCTCTGTGTATAACAAAAGGGTTAGAATGTCTGGATCTCACAGTTGGCCGTAGCACAGTTGGGAGCCTCTTGTGAAAATCAAGAGGCAAACAAATAATGCAGATGTCACCGTGGGAGTTTGGTGTAAACCTCCCAGCCAGGATGATGATGCCGATGAATTATTGTTTGAGGAACTAAGGGACACTTCCAAGTCAACTGCCCTTGTCCTTATGAGAGACTTCAACTTCCCAGAAATTAATTGGGAGCATCACACAGCTGGTACAACCCAAGCCAGAAGATTTCTAAAAAACTTGGATGACAACTTTATGGAACATGTCCTAAGGGAACCGGCTCAGAAAGATGCTCCCTTTGATCTGCTGCTTGTCCACAGGTTGGAAAAAAGGGCAAGAAGGAGGACCCTGGAACATGCAGGCCTGTCAGTCTCACTTCAGTGCCTGGTAAAGTTATGGGGAAGGTTATCCTTGGAGGTATTGAAAAACACACAAAAGACAAGTCATCAGTCACAGCCAGCATGGCTCCTTGAGAGGAAAGTCCTGCTTATCCCACCTGATTTCCTTGTATGACAAGGTAACCCACCTGGCTGAAAGGAAACCAGTTGATGTGATCTTTTTGGATGTCAGTAAAGCTTTCAATACTCTCTCTCTCAGGATCCTTCTAGACAAACTGTCTAGCCCATGGCTGGATAAACACATCATGTGGTGGGTGGGCAATTGGCTCATGGGCTGGACACAGAGGGTGACAGTGACTGGGGTGACATCAGACTGAGCTGTCACTTGTGGGTATCCACAGAGCTCCATCTTGGGCCCTGTGCTCTCCGACATCTTCATCAGTGACTTGGACTCAGCACTGGAAGGGGCACTGAGCAAGTCTGCAGATGACCCCAAACTGGGAGGACCTGTTGAGTCCCTTCAGGGCAGGGAGGCCCTGCAGAGAGACCTCAACAAATCAGAGAGTTAGGAATCACCAACCATAGGAAGTTCAACAAGGGGAAGTGCTGAATTCTACCCCTGAGATGAACAGATGTGGAATGAGATGCTGCAAAGCAGTGCCAGGAAAGGGCCCAGGAGTTCCTGATGGGTGCCAGTTGTCCCTGAGTCAGCAGTGCCCTGGCAGCCAGGAGGGACATCCCTGTCCTGGGGGCAGCAGGCCCAGCATCACTGGCCAGGCCAGGGAGGGGATTGTCCCGCTCTGCTCTGCCCTGGGGCGACCTCACCTGCAAGATTGGGACAGTTTTGGGCACTGAATATAAGTAAGGTATGAAGCTCTTAGGGAGTGTTCAAAGAAGGGCAACAAAGATGGGGAAGGGCCTCAAGGAGCAGCTGAGGGCAGTTGGTGTCAGGGCAGGCTCAGGTTGGATCTCAGCAAAAGGTTCTTCCCCCAGAGGCTGGTTGGGCACTGAACAGGCTCCCCAGGGCAGTGGGCACAGCCCCAAGGCTGCCAGAGCTGCAGGAGGGTTTGGATGATCCTCTGGGGCACAGGGGGTGACTCTTGGGGCTGGGCCTGGGCAGGGCTGAGAGTTGGACTCAGTGATCCTTGTGGGTCCCTTCCAACTCAGCCGATTCTGTCATTCTGTGATGTTATGTCAGGCATAGCTTATTAATGAATCCTTTTTAAAGTAACTTGCTCCCTGAGAAGAAACACTGGGATTATGTGTCCACTGTCCTTTTACTCCCCTACACTTCAAAGCCTCACAGTGCAGTTTTTGGAGTGCAAGTGACAAACTTCCACAGCAGATGTCAGTGTGCCTCCCTCTTTGCCTTAAGAGGGCTCCAGATTAGGATGTCGTTAGAGAACTGCAGCTGTGGCAGTTGAAAATAGATAGATGTACTACCAGGACTGGTGATGGAGCCAACAGTAGAGAGATCATCTGTCTGCTTTTTCAAATCTGGCTTTGTTGCCACAATTGACTCATTGTCAGTCTACAGTGCCTTAATGTGGCCCCTGGTGGTCTAGGGGTAAAGGCGCCGCGCTATCACCGCGGAGACCCGGGTTCGATTCCCGGTCAGGGCCACTCCCGGGCAGGTGGGGCTCGTTAGCCCTTAAAGGCAACCCACCTACGTCCTAAGGACCTCACTGCCACCGTCCAAGCTCGCTTGGCCCCGGCAGATGAACCTTAGGATTAAAGGGTGGGCTCAGTTCCGCGCACACTGTGTCTCACCTAAAAAAATCCAATGCGCAGGCTGGAAGGTGTAAAGACCTTCCCCGGATCTTCACTCGTGAAGACTGGCCGTTAATGTGGCCCCATTCAGACAGGGTCAGGAAAGAGGAGGTGACAGACCATGTCCTGTGAAGTGCCATGTGACATATTTCTAACTGCATCGTTTTCTTTGTATATGACCTGCATGTATGGTCATCAGAGGGCAACACCACACTTGCAGCCACATTACTTACCTTACTTCAATCATTACTTATTAACCCTAATCTGAAACCTTTGATGGGATTTCAGGGAAAAGCCTTGCATTTACAGCATTTTTCTAGAGCAAAGCAGAGGTTACACAGCACATGAGACCTCACTTAAAGAGCAGGGCATAACCTGAAATTAGAAAGAAGTAATGCTGAAGTTTTTTACTATGAGAGACTGCAATTTTGGAAGCACCAAGTCAACCAGCATGTCTGCCGGATGGATGACAGGATGACAAGTTTGGAAAGGGGCTACCTAATCCTATGCTAGACAATTCTCTAATGGAACCCAATGATATTCCTTCTCACATCTTCTGTTTCATTTATATAACTATTGCAGATTTTCATGTTTCCTGATGAAAAATGTGCTCAGCAATGGTGTCAGGAAGCAGCAAGAGTCAGGGTTGCTCTGTGAAGTTGGAACAAACTAGGAGCTCAGTGACACAGCACAGGCAGAGCCTCCCTGAGCAGACACACAGGTCTGAAAAGTGTGGAAAAAACAGGGTGCTGTTAACTGGATTCATCAGCATCCCAAGACAAGGGATTCATCCATGATTCATTCAAGGAATTTTTTCAGGGGGAGACAAACACAGGACTGAGAAACAAGACTACAAGCAAGGTCTGAGGTCCATTCAAGAGGAAAAGCTGCAGATAACTGCACCTACGACATACCTGAGACATCTACAACATGGCTCAGGCTGAAGTTAAGCAGTGCTCCTGGAACTGTTGGTGGAGAGCATGGGTGGCAGCCGTAGGGCAGGTGAGTCCTGTTGGTGCACTTTGGGGCCTAACAATGATCTGTTGGGCCTGTCTTCACCTGTGTTGACCACTGTGCAAACACAAGAAGAGACAACTGCCTTGCAGGACTTAGGATGGACAGAGAACCAGGCTATAGAAGGTCACAGATGCTTATGATGATTTGCAGTTCTCATGGAAAGATTTACACAAGGTCATGGAATAGGAGCAGTCATAGCTACTGCTGTGAGTCAGATGAAGAAGGTAAATTTATTCTACAAGCTGAATGGGTTGAAAGTGGTTTTGAACCCTCAAAGATCAATGTGACCTG